TTCTCCCCACCCATTTCCACTCCCTTGCACCCACGCTGTCCGCAGCCGTCCGCGCAATTCTCCGATCCATGCCCGTCCGCAACCGTCCGCGCAGCGAAGCTCGTTCTCCGCATCGATTTCCCGTCCGCAGCCGTCCGCGCGGCCAAGCTCGCTCATCTCCAGCGGCTTCTTCTCCCCACCAATTTCCAGCCACTCCCTGGCACCCACGCCGTCCGCAGCCGTCCGCGCAATTCTCCCCACCCTTATGCAGCCCGCAGCCGTCCGCGCAGCCAAGCTCGCTGATCTCCAGCGGCTTCTTCTCCCCACCCATTTCCAGCCATTCCGTTGCGTGCACGCCGTCCGCAGCCGTCCGCGCAGTTTTCCGAACCTATTTCCCATCCGCAGCTGTCTGCGCAGCCAAGCTCGCTCATCACCAGCGGCTTCTTCTCCCCACCCATTTCCAGCCACTCTGTTGCACCCACGCCGTCCGCAGCCGCCAGCCGTCCGCGCAATTCTCCGCACCTATTTCCCGTCCGCACCCGTCCGCGCAGCCAAGCTCGCTGATCTCCAGCAGCTTCTTCTCCCCACCCATTTCCAGCCACTCCCCGGCACCCACGCCGTCCGCAGCCGTCCACGCAATTCTCTCCACCCATTTGCCGTCCGCAGCCGTCCGCCCAGCCAAGCTCGCTCATCACCAGCGGCTTCTTCTCCCCACCCATTTCCAGCCACTCCCTTGCACCCACGCCGTCCACAGCCGTCCGCCAAGTTCTCCGCACGCATTTCCCGTCCGCAGCCGTTCGCGCAGCCAAGCTCGCTCATCACCAGCGGCTTCTTCTCCCCAACCATTTCCAGCCACCCTTGCACCCACGCCGTCCGCAGCCGTCCGCGCAGCCAAGCTTGCTGATCTCCAGCGGCTTCTTTTCCCACTCATTCCTTTCCCTTCCTTTCCCTTCCTTTCCCTTCCTTTCCCTTCCTTTCCCTTCCTTTCCCTTCCTTTCCCTTAAGTGGCTTCTTCTCCCCACCCATTTCCAGCCACTCCCCGGCACGCCGTCCGCAGCCGTCACGCAATTCTCTCCACCCATTTGCCGTCCGCAGCCGTCCGCGCAGCCAAGCTCGCTCATCACCAGCGGCTTCTTCTCCCCACCCATTTCCAGCCACTCCCTTGCACCCACGCCGTCCACAGCCGTCCGCCAAGTTCTCCGCACGCATTTCCCGTCCGCAGCCGTCCGCGCAGCCAAGCTCGCTCATCACCAAGCGGCTTCTTCTCCCCACACATTTCCAGCCACTCCGTTGCAACCACGCTGTCCGCAGCCGTCCGCGCAATTCTCCGCACCCATCAGCCGTCCGCAGCCAAGCTCGCTGATCTCCAGTGGCTTCTTCTCCCCACCCACTTCCAGCCACTCCCTTGCACCCACGCCGTCCGCAGCCATCCGCGCAATTCTCCGCACCCATTTCCCGTCCGCAGCCGTCCGCGCAGCCAAGCTCGCTGATCTCCAGCGGCTTCTTCTCCCCACCCATTTCCAGCCACTCCCTGGCACCCACGCCGTCCGCAGCCGTCCATTTCCAGCCACTCCGTTGCACCCACGCCGTCCGCAACCGTCCGCGCAGTTCTCCGCGCCCATTTCCCGTCCGCAGCCGTCCGCGCAGCCAAGCTCGCTCATCACCAGCGGCTTCTTCTCCCCACCCATTTCCAGCCACTCCCTTGCACCCTTGCCGTCCGCAGCCGTCCGCGCAATTCTCCGCACCCATTGCCGTCCGCAGCCGTCCGCGCAGCCAAGCTGGCTGATCTCCAGCGGCTTCTTCTCCCCACCCATTTCCAACCACTACGTGGCACCTACGCCGTCCGCAGCCGTCCGCGCAATTCTCCCCACCCATTGCCGTCCGCAGCCGTCCGCGCAGCCAAGCTCGCTGATCTCCAGCGGCTTCTTCTCCCCACCCATTTCCAGCCACTCCGTTGCACCCATCCGCAGCCGTCCGCGCAGCCAAGCTCACTGATCTCCAGCGGCTTCTTCTCCCCACCCATTTCCAGCCACTCCCTGGCACCCACGCCGTCCGCAGCTGTTCGCGCAGTTCTCCGAACCCATTTCCCATCCGCAGCCATCCGCGCAGCCAATCTCGCTCATCACCAGCGGCTTCTTCTCCCCAACCATTTCCAGCCACCCTTGCACCCACGCCGTCCGCAGCCGTCCGCGCAGCCAAACTCGCTGATCTCCAGCGGCTTCTTTTCCCACTCATTCCTTTCCCTTCCTTTCCCTTCCTTTCCCTTCCTTCCTTCCTTCCTTTCCCATCCTTTCCCTTCCTTTCCCTTATTTCCCTTCCTTTCCCTTTCCTTTCCCTTCCTTTCCCTTGCACCCACGCCGTCCGCACACCACCGTTCAAACCAGCTCGCTCCCCCACGCGGTTAAACAACTAAACGAGAACACAAGCATCGAAGATGCTTTTAGGAAAAACACGCAAAAAAAATCTGGCCGCAGTTTGACCTGCCTACGAAGGCTTAGAACTTCAATACACACAACAGAAAATGGGAATCGTTGCCAAAAACGAGGTAAATGGCAAACTAAAATCGAAACAATGAGGCCAGGGAAACGGCAAAACCATTCAAAACCCAACCCCTGTCGCACCTCAGTATCTGCTAATCCAGCATCTTTGGCCGCCTTGTGGCGCAGAATATTGCGAAGCTTTGAATGCTATCTGGTGGCTAAAGCATGCAAGCTGCTACACTGCCAAATGCTTTCATCTAAAAAGAAGCTAGACTTTCAATGTCATTGTGATATTATTCTTATTTGTTCTTCTTGTCCATTGATTAGTTACATACGGGGCCGTCATGATTGGCAAGTGACTGCACGAAGAAGACACACGATAACAGTTTTTTGTTTGGCCCGGCGCTCAATTGTATAAACATGAATCTAGTACAGAAAGCAGCGAGGAGTCTTTGCAGAAAAATGCTTCTGTCTTCACAGAACTAACCACCTATGGAGACCTCTGGATGTCTAAAGCGCTTATTAAACTATACATATATATTGTGAATAGATTGATGTCCTATCTTTGTTCGTGTAGTAGATCTTATCCCGGTCCGTTGGGTAGTTGACAAAGCCCTCAAAGCAGCTCAGACAACGACATCTGTTTTCCTGATAGCACGGGAGCGTCCTTGAGCCGATGTCGCAGATATGCATACATTGGCCATCCTAATTCCCGCTTGATATGTGACTGACCTGGTTGACCTGTTGCCTGTGTTTCCTTTGACATATATATATATCTATCTATCTATCTATCTATCTATACATGTTGCACTCTATCAATCAATCGAAGTCTTTCAGTATTGCAATCTATAAAAGGCTCAGGCCGGTAAATAGCCTCTCCGCAGCATTTCTCATTTGGCGAGTTGCCCTGACTGGCCCCGACTTGCCAGTGAGAATCTGACAGCCAAGTTGCAGCTATCCACCTTCACCCCTTAACCAAACGGACATGGACACAGAGACAACGAACTAACCCTTCCCCCGAAAATAAATGCCCCCTCTATGGGACCCAAAACTAAATAGATCCAATACATTTCACCAGGTTCCTGAGGGGTAAGGGATTGCAACTACACCCACGCAGTGGAGAAGGACAAGGCGACTGCGACATGCTGGGACTCCCTGCGCTTGCACCGTGGCCATCATTCGAGGCCATAGCGCTGGCATGGAAACTCCCGGTGCAACGCCCGGGGTGAAACTACAGTGGAACCGTTCGGCCACCGCTGAGGTAAGATGCTTTGGAGCTGTTGAGCTGCACATGAAGATGTAGGACATATTTCTCATCAAGACACTACACGACTTTGCTTTTCTAAGTTGGTGAACTTGATGTGAAATCTACTTACGTCAAAATGGCATCCAAAAGCTGTAGCCTTCTCAAATCCAATATTTGCCTGACTGGTCGCGGGAATTCAAACCAAATGCCCCAATACTAAACTAAAGTACTAGCACCAAGTTAAAATGCCAACTTGCACCCTACTCACTACGACTTGCAATTTCTTGGTGGGGAACAAACTGCCCGCCTTGAGCTCGAAAGGTGCTTTGAATCTCGAACTTTGAAATGCTTGACATCCGCCAAGCAAAATTGCACATGACCGATTGGAAAGCGCGTGCCACACTACAACGTCTTGCATCTCTAGTGGAATATTATGTCGACTCAGATGACTCCGGTCTTTGTATCAACACTTTGTATTAAATCAACACAGAGACTGTAGAACAGAAAAAACTGGAACACTATAGAGATGCGAACATATGGGCTTGTCTGAAACTTGGGTATCCAAAAGTCATCAAAACCCACAGTACTGTATGTGCCCGGTGAGACAGGTCCCTGCTAGGTTTTTTGAAGTGTGCATAAGAATCTCTCCGTGCATGAAGTACCACCTGCATTTTTGATGTATAGATATGTATAGTCAAGTACGTAAGTATGCCAAAGTAACACCCCTGACAGCTGAAACTGTCAAGAGTTTCCAGGTTGATTAGAGCCAAGCAAACAGCCATCGCAGTTGACTGATCTGGAAATTGTTTCTAGGAAACTTTTGGAACCTGGTAGCTGGGATGTTCCCGTCCAAGCATTGAAAGCCTTGCAGCAGTCCCCTGGAACCTTGCATGGGAACTTGGTATGGCACTTCCACTTGAAATCTTTCGAAAACCAAAATTTACGGGAGCGTTTTTGCCAGGAGCCACTTGATATCCAGAATCTGACTACACGGTCATATTATATAGTCAATAGGGATCTTACAGGTTTCACCAAGGCCTGGAGTCGATCCGGACTCCTCTGCAACCTGTAAGACCCTACCTGAACTGTTGAAGTTTTCCAGAAGACACACCCCAGGGGAGAAATCATCGGAAACCTACAATACTTTCTCTTAAGCATATGTAGGTTTCAATACACTTTGTATATGTTTCAACAAAGCTTGTAGGTTTATGTTTCGTATTTGTTCTATGTATTGTTGGCAATGGATTGAAGAACATGAAGGATATGACCAGCGGCCAAATCTGCTGGACTATTTTCTCCACCACTTCCACGCAATCGGCTTCACACAACCATCTCGCTCATCGTATTTCCGTCTTCCTCTCTGAAGACAATGGAGACTTCGAAGCCCATTCGTTTCTTCTCTTCCAACAGTTCCTTGAAGGCCTGGTTTGATGGCCAAGACTGAACCTTTTGGAAAAAAAAGAGTCCGTTTTATTTACCTAGTGGTTGTTGAATGGAAAACCCCTTTTGTTCAACTATTCAGCAACATCAGCAACCAGTGGGAAAAAGACATCTATGTTGGTCGCAGGGCGGGCCCCTTGAAAGCCGTGACGAGAAAAAGGTTCCACCAGGCAAGCGCCAAACAAGACTCTATGAATCCACATCTGCAAGCCGGTGTCGTCTTCTTGCGAGCTATGGATCAGAGCTAGTGTTACCTCCCCCTTCACCTGGCCCCGCCAAAAAGCGTTTCCTTAGGAGAACTGGATTAAGCTGAACTTAGCTGAATGAAGCTGAATTGAGTTGATTTTATGTAAAAATCAGCTTCATTAGTTCAGCTTGACTCAGCTTAATAGCATTCAAAAATATTGGAAAACAGGGAATCAGTACATACTTGCACATGCAAGAATTCTACCTAAAATCAACTCAATTCAGCTTAATTCAGCTGATTCAAGTTCTCCTAAGGAAATGTTTTTGGGGGGGCCAGGTGAAGGGGGATGAATGAAAAACTATGAATTTACCCACTCCTTGATTTACTTTTATGACATGCATGATCACAGTGTGGCAAATTAAATAAAACCATCTTGGGAAACAGTGAGGAAGAGCATGATGTGGCATAATCCAGGACATGCCAGGCCTTCTCTCCCTCGACACCTATTCCGTTGTTGGCCAAGTTGATGTTGCTGACTGATGTGTCTGTTATCAAGGCCTCTGCTAGGGCCTGAATGAACGAAGACAAGACTAAAAATCCAAGACTGACATCTCAGAAGAAGGAAGAAGACTGCAACAATCCTTCATGAGTTGAAGGCACGATAGGAATTTCTGTTCGACTGGTCACTCAACACATCGACATCGTCTACCTCAACATCTAAGCTTAATTATATAATCAATTTAATAGGCAAAACGAAAACGTGGTTCCGAGATGTTCCGAGCAAACAACCCATTTGAACGAGCACCTTATATCCGGGCCTTTACTCTTTCGCATGATTTGCATGGCAAAGCACCATCCATTTTGGAGTCAAATGCCGCGGCCCACTACACGCCAGGCCTTGGCACCCTCGAAACCTATGGCGTTGTTGGCCAAGTTGATACTGTTCACGGATGTGTCTGTCATCAATGCCTCTGCGAGGGCCTGGCTGGAGGAAGACAAGGATCAAGATTCAAGACTGACATCTCGGAAGAAGGAAGAAGACTGCAACAATCTTGCATGAGCTGAAAGCAGGATAGCAATTTCTACTTGCCGCGTCATGCAGCACAGCACATACATTTTTTACTGTAACGTCCAATCAGTAATGTAATCAAAATGAGAAAAAGATAGAAAAAGGTTCCGAACATTTCCGAACTAAACAACTGCACTTGAACCAGCATGATTCGCATGGCAGCAAAATGTCAAAGCACCATTCAATTTGAAAACTACACGCCAGGCCTTGGCACCCTCAACGCCTATGCCGTTGTTGGCCAAGTTGATACTGTTCACGGACAGGTTTGTCATCAAGGCCTCTGCTAGGGCCTGGAGTAGCGTGGAAGAGTGCGCCTATGCATCTAGCTCGCAATGTGGCGGTGTTTGCGCGTTGCCCGTGCTATGCAAATGCAACTGGAAGTTGCTACATGCACTGTAATAGCTGTACGAAGGAAAAATTGAGACATGGTGCGACGCTTGTGCTATGCGGGACTGCAACTGGAGGTTGCTAATCGTATTGCCAAACCCTTACAACAGCTCCGCGGCGAGAAGATTCATCCATACCAGAGGGAGCTCAGAAAGGATTCCCCAGAGAAGAGTTGGTACGGCTCAGAACTAGTAAATACTCCGCCCAAGGATAGATGACACCGAAAATTGAGTTGCGCCATCTACTCCTGACCCAAAATTCATGGTCTAAAACGAGAAAACGCTGATACAGATGGTTCAACCATGCTCAACCCCCATCAGTGAGTTTTGTGTGTGTGTCATTTACAGTCTGTGTTTTTCGTATGTTTTACCGGGCCCATATTTTGGCTTCGCGAATACAAAAGCGGGAAAACTTGTTATTTTTCAAAAATCGCGAGCCCGGTTTCAGTTATTCCAGCACATTTCAGCTGGAGTGTCTTTTTCTTTGGGTTGCCCCCAAGGTGTTGTGTATACCCCAACTTCTCCCCCAATTTTAGTTCACGCATCCTTGCTCCACTTTTACACAAGGGGTTGTGTAGATGGCGCAAAAAAAATGATTCTGCGAGATTCGCCAACTTACCACCACAGAAAAGAGAGGTGCTACCACCAAAACACTGCAGAAACAGATGGCACAAGCGGCCCACAAACCGCAAAAAAATTGGAACACGAATGAGTGGTGCAACCCCGTGAATGGATTTGCAATCAAACCCAAAAATTGCAATCAAACCCAAAAACAAAAATTACAGCAGCAATAGATGCAACCCATGCAGAGGCTGCAAATCACCCAAAGCCACAGGAATATGTACATGGCACAACCCACCGGGAAGACCTGCAAACCCCACCTACAGCCATAACTGCAGGAATAGGCGACAACCCAAGCTAGGTTTTTTTCCGAGTTTGGTGATTTCACAACAACGGGTTTTTTCTATTCAGAGTTGCGCCTTCAGGATTTTTGCGATTAGCTCTGCCAATTTGTTTTTAGTTGGCCGGTCCTCAGCACGTTAGGCAACCAATTGTCTGCGCGAATGACTCAATTTTTCCCGCGCAGGGGTCATGTACTCTCTCTCACCCTGGCGTAGTTTTTGGGCAGTTGGCAGTTGAACCATTTATTTGGTTTTTCCATAAACAATGAGACCTTGATGGTTCTCAGGCAGCATTTGGCAGCTGAGTTATCCGTTTTTTCCCACTAATCAAGTCTTTCAGGGCACCCGCAGCTTGGGTATGACATTTGGCGCTGACGCTGACGACGCATTGTGACGACACATTGGCGATGTCCCCGGCCCCCCTGACGACGCATTGTGACGACACATTCCCTGACGACGCATAGCCCCCTCACGACGCATTAACCCCTGACGACGCATTGTGACGACACATTCCCTGACGACGCATTGCCCCCTGACGACGCATTACCCCCTGACGACGCATTGTGACGACGCATTCCCTGACGACGCATTGCCCCCTGACGGACGCATTGTGACGACCACATTCCGACGTTCGCGTTGCCACTGACAGCGTCTGTGTGACGACACTTCCTGAGACGCATTACCCCAAAACGACGCATTACCCCTGCGACGCATTGTGACGACACATTCCCTGACGACGCATATTGACCCTGACGGACGCAGTACCCGCTTGACGACGCATTGTGAACAACAATTCCCTCCTGGACGACGCATTACCCCATGAAGACCGCATTGTGACGAACACCCCCACCAATTCCCTGTGACGACGCATTGCCCGCCGACCGTCGCGTTGCCCCTGACGACGCGTGTGTGTGACGACACATTCCCTTGACGACCGCATGTACCCCACAAAAACGGACGCATACCCCCTGACGACGCAATTCTGACGACACATGCCCTGACGACGCATTTCCCCCTGACGACGCATTGTGGCGACACATTCCCTGACGACGCATTGCCCCCTGGCAACGCATTATATACACCCTGACGACGAATTGTGTATTGCCTGACGACACATGCCTGTTGACAGGCTAGGCATGACGAGCAAGGGCGCAGGCGTACTGTAGTCTTAGTATGTGGGAAGATAAATAGAGGAATGTAGAGAGGAAGAGGAGCCGGAGGGCAGCCAGGGATTTGGTCTGATCACCAAGGCTGGGCTATGCAGAAATATAAAACGTAGAGATAATTATCAAGATCGTGTGGCGCGTTTTTGCCATCTCAGTTGAAAATCCTTGAGGCAAGGATCAATCATTAAGTTGAAGTACGTTTTTGCAATCTCAGTTGAAAATCCTTGAGGCAAGGATCAATCATTAAGTTGAAGTAGTAGAACCTTCTTAGCTTCTTACCAAACCCAAACGAAGAGAGCGCCCGAGTGTTCCAGGAGAAAGCTCAGGAAGCTCAATGAAAAAGTATTGAGCGTGTAGCATTCAGAACATGCGGGAGTTTAGTGCGTAACATCAAGAGCCTGTTGGAAGTTCCAAGAGAAACCTAGGCGAGTAATACCAAGAGAGCTTGTTGAAGGACCAAGAAAAACCTAAGAGTCTAGCATCCAGAACGTGTTGGAGGTCAGAGCGTAGCATCAAGCGCATGCTGGAATGCTTGAGGAAGAACAAAAGAGCGTAGCAACTAGAGCGTCCTGGCGTGTTCCAGAACAAAGCTAAGAGCGTAGCAGGAAGAGCGTGACTTTCTCCAGACCGCAGCGTCAAGAGGCAGAGCGTAGCACCAACAAGAGCGCGTTGGAAGTTCCAAGAAAAATTATAAGAGCGTATCATCACGATTGTGGTGGACCGTAGCGTCAACAGCATCTTGGACGAGGTTCAGCGCGTAGCATCAAGAGAGTGTCAGAGCCGGAGCCAAGAACGTAGCATCAAGAGCGTGTTTTAATTCAATGCGTCACAAAAAGAAGCAAAAATAGTGCGCCATGCTTCAAGAGAAGCCAAGGGCGTAGCGTCAAGAGCGTGCTGGCACGTCCCAGGACAAGGCAAAGAGAAAGTGTTGGAAGATAAAACACACCAAGAGCGTGTTGGAAGTTCCAATAGACAGCTAAGAGGGTAGCATCAAGAGCTTGCCGGAATGGCCCAGGAGAAAGCTAAGAGATGCTCAGAGCGTAGCAGCAAAAGTGTGTCGGAAAACCCAAGATTAAGCCAAGAGCGTAGCACCAAGAGCTTGTTCGAACTTCCAAGAGAAAATTAGCATAGCATTCAAGAGGCGACTGTCTCCAGAGCGTAGCGTCAAGGGCGTGCTGAAATGTTCCCTATACGTCGTTCCTTCCGCTTTAAATCGGTTTAACTCTTCCCTTCCGTTCGCTACTTCCTCCCCCTCGTTTCAACGCTTCCATCCTGTTCATTTACCTCTTCCTTTCATGTCAATGCGTTCATGTCGCTATTTCCTTCCTTTTTTCAAGTCTTACATGCGGTTTGATTATCTCTTCCTTTTTTCCAAGTCGTTCATTTCGTTACCTCCTTCGTTTCAACCTCTTAAATTCCGGTTCGTGACCTTTCCTTTCGTTTCGAGCCGTTCGTTTTCGTTTATACTTCTGTCTTATATTTTTTGTTTTCTTTTTGTTTCATATAGTCTTACATCCGCTTACGTTACCTCCTCCTTTCCTTCTCAAGGTCATTTTCATCGCGTCCGTTCCTTTCGTTTGAACTCTACGCTTCGATTCGTTACTTCTTCCCTTTCGTTCAACTCTTCGTTTCCGTTCCCTATTACTGGTCCTTCGTTTTTAAATCTTCCTTTACCCTTCGTACTTTCTTCCATGTTCAATGCTCCATTCCATGTTTCATTGTCATTTACAATTCCTTTCGTTTCACGTCGGCGTTCATTTTGGTTAATCCTTCTTTGGTCAATGTGTTCATCCAGTTACGTTAACTCATTCCTTTTCGTTTCAAGGCGTTCCCTGTTTTCCCCATTTTCGTAACTCCTTGTTATTCTTTCTATTTCGCTTCAACTATTATTTTCCTGTTCGTCTTGCGCTTCCTTTACTTTAACTCGTCAATTTCATTGATCGTTTCCCGTAGTGCCTGTACGTTGCAACTCTTCCCTTCCATTCGTTGCTTCCTTCCTTTCGTTTCAACTCTTTGTAATCCCGTTCGCTGCTTCTTTCGTTTCAACTCTTCCCTTCTGTTCCCTATACGTCGTTCCTTCCGCTTTAAATCGGTTTAACTCTTCCCTTCCGTTCGCTACTTCCTCCCCCTCGTTTCAACGCTTCCATCCTGTTCATTTACCTCTTCCTTTCATGTCAATGCGTTCATGTCGCTATTTCCTTCCTTTTTTCAAGTCTTACATGCGGTTTGATTATCTCTTCCTTTTTTCCAAGTCGTTCATTTCGTTACCTCCTTCGTTATAGTCATCATGATCGGTGTTGGGGTCCATAAACCAACCCTTGAAACCGTGACCATGGTTCCGCCAGTTCCTGAAACTGGGGGCCCAGTTCCTAACATGACAGGCCCTAGGACTTGTAGGGAAAATATGCAAGTGAACCAAACAAAGACGTCCGTTATACGGTGAAAACCCACCATGGACAAAAAAATGTCCCTACGGTTTGCCAAAATAAAAACTAGATGCATATATGACATGCATGTAGGCTTTGAGTGTATGCATGCTTTTCTCCCAAGTCGTTGGTGAAAAAGTCGTCTTCGGGGGGCAATTTCGTCTTCGGGGAGTTCGTCTTCGGAATTCGTCTTCGGGGGGAATTCGTCTTCGGGAAATTCGTCTTCGCAATTCGTCTTCGGGGGGAATTCGTCTTCGGGGGGCAATTCGTCTTCGTGGAATTCGTCTTCGCAATTCGTCTTCGGGGGGGAATTCGTCTTCGGGGGGGAATTCGTCTTCGGGGAATTCGTCTTCGGAATTCGTCTTCGGGGGGGGAATTCGTCTTCGGGGGGCAATTCGTCTTCGGGGAATTCGTCTTCGCAGTTCGTCTTCGGGGGGGAATTCGTCCTCGGGGAGCAATTCGTCTTCGGGGAATTCGTCTTCGCAATTCGTCTTCGGGGGGGAATTCGTCTTCGGGGGGCAATTCGTCTTCGGGGAATTCGTCTTCGCAATTCGTCTTCGGGTGGGAATTCGTCTTCGGGAGGCCATCGTCTGCGGGGAATTCGTCTTCGCAGTTCGTCTTCGGGGGGGAATTCGTCTTCAGGGAATTCGTCTTCGCAATTCGTCTTCGGGGGGGAATTCGTCTTCGGGGGTCAATTCGTCTTCCTGGAATTCGTCTTCGGAATCCGTCTTCGGGTGGGAATTCGTCTTCGGGGGGCAATTCGTCTTCGCAATTCGTCTTCGGAATTCGTCTTCGTCTGCGGCTGGAAATGTCATACCCGCACAGCGGGCTCAATGAAGTCTTGGATGGCTGTCATGGATCAATTTGCAGTTGAGCCATCTATTCCGCACTTTTTTCGTTATGTGTTTGCCTGTGGAATTGAAAATGTGCCCGGTTTCCACATTCTCGGTGCCATCTATCCACTGCCCGGGAAATGTGGTATGCGCCATCTATTAGTACATATACAGATACATAAAGACAGACATATACATTCACATATAGGTTACCATATACGTACAGATACACATGTACAAACAAACATTACCTCACATTGCACTATATCTTACATTGTATTACGCTTCATTGACGTACATCACATTGCCTTACATGTCACTTCGCACGACACTTCGCGCAGTATCTGACATTACACCTGACACGAGATCTGGCATTACATTTGGCATGAGGCTTAACCTTACAGGCGACAAACAATCTGACATATTTTTTGGCCATTACATGTCACATTTGATTTGACATTGCATATGACACTAAAATCAACATGACACTGGACATAGTTTTAAATCAAAATACTCTAAACCACATACAGTGATCACGTACACATGCATGCACACGTACACACGCACCTCTTTCTCAATTCGTTTAACATATTATACTTATAGTTCATTCATGTCACACATCGTCTTTCTTTCCATATTTATGTCATGTTCAATCCTTCATTTATTCATTCATTTCATGTCATGTCATGTCATGTCATGTCATGTCATGTCATGTCATTTCATTCATTCATTCATTCATTTCATTCATTCATTCATTCCATTCCATTCCATTCCATTCCATTCCATTCATTCATTCATTCATTCATTTCATTCATTCATTCATGCATTCATTCATTCATTCATTTCATTCATTCATTCATTCATTCATTTCATTTCATTTCATTTCATTTCATTCCATTCATTCATTCATTCATTCATTCATTTCATTCATTCATTCATTCATTCCATTCATTTCATTTCATTTCATTTCATTTCATTTTAATTCATTCATTCATTCATTCATTCTTTCATTCATTTCATTCATTTCATTCATTTCATTCATTTCATTCATTCATTTCATTCATTCATTTCATTCATTCATTCATTGATTCATTCATTCATTTCATTTCATTCATTTCATTCATTCATTCATTCATTCATTCATTTCATTCATGCCATTCATTCATTCACTCACTCACTCACTCATTCATTCTTCATTCCATTCAATTCCATCCCATTCCATCCGGCTCCGTTCCATTCCATTTCCGTCAGTTCATTTCATTCGTTACTTTCATCTCGCTATGTTTCGTGCTCCTTTGATTCTTTGCCATTTGTAAAAGTTCGGTCATTTGATTGGTTGATTGCATTGACTGATTTGCTTCATTCATTCACTGATGTATTCATCCATTCATGTCGTTCAGCCAATCAGTCTGCCACTCAACAATTTCGTCACAGCCTCAATGAAACCCCTGTGTCATTCAAAATACTTTCCTATTTCATGTCCACTAGCTGCTTATGTTTTGCGAAACTTCCGCACCGGCGAGGCCGGGGACTGCTGGTATGTTACAAGGAATAGCAAAAACGAGGCTCCAACCATAGAACCCCACTTGAACCATCCCCGCATATCCGGACCAATACACACATGACATAAGCATGGTTCACATGCTAGCAAAATGTCAAAGCACTATCCAATTTGAAGCCAGATACTGCAACCCACTACACGCCAGGCCTTGGCACCCTCTACGCCTATGCCGTTGTTGGCCAAGTTGATACTGCTCACGCACAGGTTTGTCATCAAGGCCTCTGCTAGGGCCTGGCTGAACAGGAGACGATCGCTGGTATATATGTGCCAAATTCCAGTACAACTGGGGCGATCCTGACACCTGCAAACATTTTTCCGTACAAGATGGTACACAACTGTCGCACATATTTTCTACAACAAGGCGGAGATCAAAGCCAAATGTCTACTTCCCCTGTTGAATGCACATCCGGCGTGCATAGTTGCAAAATAAGATCTGTAAAGGGCCTGAAAAAGCTGGACACAAAAATGCGCTGAATATCGCTGAATCATATAAATTTCAAGCACTCCAAAATGTGAGCTGAACACATTGACAGTATGCAAAGTCACGTCAAGCTCCTACACCTCTCTCAAAACACACAGCCAGGGAATTGCACAAAATCAAAGGGACAGGATGGGCCTTGGCACCCTCGGTGCCAATGTCATTGTGTTCCATGTTGATGACGCCAACAAACATGTTCATCTCCAAAGCGTGTGCCAGGGCCTGATTGGCTGATAGGAAAAGAAATCAAGGCTAGCGATTTTGTCAAGCTAAAACATCCCTTTGTAAACACTTGACAAAGGCATGGCACGGCATGACAGGACAAAGGACAGTATTGCAGCCCAGAACATGCCCAAGCCTTGGCTCCCTCAGGGCCAATGCGATTTAATTTCATGTTGAGGTCCGTCACTGATGTATTTGTCTTCAAGGCTTGAGCGATAGCCTGAATGAAGTACTACAAGATCAAAATGTCAAAAGAGATCAAGGCTGGTAACTGCAAGACGGGTCAAAAGATGTGAAAAGTAAAGGAATCTGAGTAAAGGTGACGCCTCCGCTCCCTTCGCACCAATGGAATCGCCCGTCAAATCAATGTCCCGCGCAATACTATTTGTCTTTAAGGCTTCCGCCAAAGCCTGACATCTGCTAGATTCTGGTGGGGAAGAGTTTTGCAGCTTCAAATGTGGAGATAGGACAGTTCTCTTGGCTTGGCGTGACATTTGAAATACTGCACGCATATTGATGTCCAATCTACAATGTAGAACCAGCATTAAACTGATCAGGCACCAAACCGTTCGCCTTCAAACGGACTGGTGCTTCAAAAGGTTCTCTGCCTGGAATCTGTTGGTTCCCCATCCTGCCCTGGCGTGTCAGAACAATCACCAAGGTCAACCGGAAATTCTGGCAACGAAAAAACACGAAACAGATCAAAACAATAATATAAATGTTGACATGTTGTTGACGCAAAAAACCAAATGGCGGTTAAGTAAACTGCAACAGTTTCCAGAAACATCATGCACTAAGAAGGCGTTTGCAACTGAGAAAAGGCCAGGCCTTGGCTCCTGCCGGCAGGCCAATGGTTGTGCCGGGGTGATTTGTCTTCAAGGTTTCCTCCAAAGATTTGCTGAACATCAGGAGATCAATGCATCGTGACTGTGACATTCAATTATATATATATAATTTTGGCTAACCCTTTGTCTCTCGGAAGCAGTTTCCAAGGAAAGGTGTCAACATGTTCAAACCATGAAGGGCAGGCCAAGCCTTATTTCCATCCGTCCGAATGCAGTTGCGCTGTAAGTTGATGTCTCTGATGGATTCATTTGTCCTCAAGGCCTCTGCGAGAGCCTGACGCAAGGAACACACGTACACACATACATACACACCAAAAAAAACAAGAAGACACAACTTAACCCGAACCTCTTGAGTGATCAGCGTCTGCATGAAGAAGAGTTATGTTTGGACAGTTGTTCGTTTAGAACAAGGAAAGAGGAACAGGCAAGCAAAAATGTGGATTGGAGCAATCAACTCAAACACAGTAGGAAAAAGCACACAGCCCTACTAAATTTAACAAGTCAGGTGGGCACACCAAGACAAAGAAACCCGCCCGCACCGAAGGTGCCGAGGCGTAATAGTGTAGGAGTGGAAGGCAACCAAACAGATCTGTCAGACTGGTACAGCTTTCAGCTGCGTCCAAATGCGCTGTTTCGATCCAACATGGCCGCAACATCGGCTCCACTTGGAGTCAACTTCGGCCAACAAGGCCACAACTTCGGTCCAACTTGGACCCACCTGGCTCCAACTTCGGCCCAACTTGGCTCCAAGATGGCGCAGCTTGGCCCCAACAAGTTGGACCCATTTGGGAGCAATTTCGGCCCAAGTTAAGGCCTACATGGCTTCAAAATTGGGACATGGCCGGCCCAATCCGAAATCCTCAAAACGTGCGTTGTCACTGGTGTTTCCCACGCTTTTTGGGCCTCGGTGACGCTTCGTGTTGCGCAATGTTCCCCATATTGTGTCTCCGTTGGGCTTGACTTGGTGCGAAACTGCCGCCAAACGAGCCCAAGTTGCACCATGTTCAACATAACCTGGGCCTCCACCTGCATCGCATGGCTTCAGCCTGGGTCGATTTCGGCCCAACTTCAGCTCAACATGAGCCAACTTAGGCTCCAGTTGGGCCCGAAATGGTGCGGCCCCGAGTTGGGCCCAGTTGGACCCTTTGGCAGGCAGCCCGGGCCCAAGCTGAGCCCAACCCGGGCGGACTGAATGCGACACGCTGAAAACTTGCATTTTTACTTCGATGGGGATTCCCGCAAGACCATGCAGGTTGGGCCTGTCTTGGGCCCAACTTCCGCGGCAGATACCCCCACACAAAACCAAGTTGCCCACATTCGGCCCAATTTGCGTCCAAACGTGCCCACGTTGCGCCGTGTTGGACCCCAGTGGAGCCAACTGGCCGAGTTCGGCGCAAGTTAGGCCCAAGTTGACCCCAAGTGGGCTCCTGTTCGGCCCAACTTGAGGCCAGGACGGCCAAGTTTGACCCCAGTCGGCTTTGGGCCAAGTATGCCCGCTCCTTTCCTCTCTATCCAATTCTCTGGATGCGGGCGGTTCTCCTTGCGAAGCGACTCGAACAAGCACGAGAAAGCTATAGGATGTGGCATGAAGACAAAAGGCACCGGGTACACACCAGGCCTTGGCCCCCTCGTTGAGAATGTGACTGTATCCCAGCTTGATCTCTGTCACAGATACATTTATCTTCAAGGCCTCCGCGAGGGCCTGACTGGAGCAGCACAAACGATCAAAAGATATCAACGTGCGTATCTACGAGCAGGCTGAAGCTGATCCAACCCCCGTTTTTTTGTAAACCCACAGAAAGGGTGCCATCCACCTAAAGCACTTCTGCAAAACAAAAAACACAAATACATCCAAAATCATCCAAACACACTATGGCCAGGAGCAATTTGAAGCAATCAAATCGATCCTTAAGAACATGCCCCCTAAACACGTAAAATGCTTGCTCGAGCTTTGAAGAGCAGGCCAAGCCTTAGCTCCATCAGCACCAATGGGATTCCGTGCCATGTTGATGACCCTCACACCGATATTCTCCTTCAAGCTCTTCAATGACTCTGCAAAATCCTGGCTGGAGCAGCACAAAATATATACGTTTAAGCCAAGTTTAAGCTGAGCCAACCCTGAGCCAACAAGGAAAGGTGTCAACCTGTTCAAGCTATAAAGGGCAGGCCAAGCCTTAGCTCCATCAGCCCCAATGCAGTTCCGCTGTAAATTGATGTCTCTGACGAAATGATTTGTCCTCAAGGCCTCTGCGAGAGCCTGAAGCAACAGAGACAAGACACAACTTAATCCGAAACCCCCGAATGATAAGTGTTAAAATGTGAGGAAAAGTGCTGTTCGGAAAGTTGTTCGTAAAACAGGGAAAGAAGGACAAGGAATAAGGATGTGGGTCAGAGCGAACAACTCAAACGCAATCGAAAAGAACACGCAGAGCCGTACTAAAAAAAATCACATGGACGCACAAAGACAAGGACATACAAGTACAGGCTACGATTTGGCATGAAGACAAAAGGCACCGGGTACACACCAGGCCTTGGCCCCCTCGTCAAGAATGCGATTGTATCCCAGCTTGATCTCTGTCACAGATTCATTGATCTTCAAGGCCTCTGCAAGAGCCTGACTGGAGCAGCACAGACGATCAAAAGCCAAATACATCCAAAATCATCCAAAAACACCATGGCCAGGAGCAATTTGAAGCAAGCCCAGCCTGAGCTCCCTCAGCCCTGATGTCATTGCCTTCCAGGTTGATGTGTCTTATAGACATATTTGTTTTCAAGGCCTCGGCTATCGCCTGGCTGCAACAGAAGATGAAAGGAGATCGAGGAACGATCATGAACGATCACGGCAAATTTCATTAATAGCACTCAGAAAGCTTTTCAAGGCAATCTAGAAGGAGGGCTTGCAAATGCCAGAAAGAGAATTGCATGACAGTGAGCAGTGCATCAAATGCATCTGACAGACTTTCCAAGAGAAAGCGCATCACATGGCTGTTGTCACGAATCAAAGCAACTGAGGCCCGCCTTCACCAGGAACTTGCTGCTCTCCGAATCGTTGTTGTGCACTTCAAGTTTCTCAACTTGACTCGATGCCAAAGCCTGCGAAGTTCAGGTCAAAGGTGTCAGAGCTTCACAGCACTTCTTCCACCCGAAGACACAACGGAAACGCAGCACATCTCTGGCCTTGCCAAAGGCTGTTGCTTCTGCTTCGCCACATCTGAATGTTTTTAGCTTCATGCTTTGCAGGCATCTGTAATATGGGAGCACATGTGACAGAGGCAATATCTCAGAGATTGGAAGGCCTTCAAGCTCCAGATGCTCACACTCTGTGACTTTCTCGTGAAAGATCTTGTTCTGAAGCTTAATCACATTCTCCTCGTCAGACCGCCAGGTAAACTTGGCGCTGAACATTGCATCTCTGAAATCCTCTGGCGTCTTTGGCACCCTTCCGTTCAGACCATCCTCTACACCGTCAGATTTCTCTTTGTCAGACTTTAACCTGTCGATCCGTTGGTGCTGGGCATTCACCCTCCGCAGTGAGGACCATTCCACTTCGGCCATGCACCATCCACGCACTCGGTACTCGTTTTTGTTCGGTTTCAATTCTGTCAAGGGCTTCGGTTTTAGAGTCCCACTACTGTCATCCCATACAGGCACCAAATCCTCCAGGTTCAGCTTCATCGCTTCCCACAGATCATCTGGAGTTAAAGTCTCGATCCTGAAAGTCAAGGTGCACTCGTGGGCATACATCAGATGCATGTTGCGCATGGCTTTGTCAAAGCTTATTCTCTCGTGCGAGCCCTCAGCTTTTGGGTGTTGAAATACGGAGACAAAATCGTAGAATACCCAGATGTCAGCATCAAACGCAGCATCATACAAACCGGTGTGGTTGACGATGTGTTGCAGCTGATACCGACACGGATCAGGATGTTCCATCGTCTCCCACGCATGGGAAATCGAGCAGATGATTGCTTTTTGGGTCCCTAAGGCCCAACTTTGCACTTCATCATGGGTTACCAACGCAGATATTTTCTCGCCGTCACAGAGAAAATGCAGTGATTCCGCTTCTTGTCGTCTAGGTAGCGGCTGTTTTAAACGAACCAACTCTGCTAGGTACCTCGGTACAGTCAGGGCATCGCTGTTGGCTTTCAGGATGTCACCGCTGCTGGCGTGGCCGGCACTGGGGGCCAAACTTGGCACGTACCAAGCGAACATCGGCGTCTTTGAGAAATCTTGCAAAAGCCTCTGGCTCTTTCAAGCTATACCGAGCCTTGGTGCAAATTTGGAGCTTCTGAGGTCCTTGTACCCAAGAAAAGGCAATCTTACATCAAGATCGTTACATTCATTGAAGATAATCTCAAGTATAGTTCCGACTTATCATTACATGGTATTACATGATGAGGTTGACCTGTTGCTGCAAAATCCAGGAAACTTATGGAAACTTCAAAGTTTTGTGGCACAGTCGAGCCTTCACGGGTGGGTGGCTAAGCACCAGGCTTCTACATCGGCTTGAACAATGGCCTCAGCAACAGATTGCAAATGGATCAAGTGAACCCATCAAAATACAGCCCATTCCTGGGAATGACTAAGTTTCTGCATCTGTACGCTCAAGTCAGCATGTGTGAGAGCAATGAAGTACAACCAATCACTGAAGTACACTTCTCATCAACGACAAAAAAACATCTAAAAATATCCGGAAAAAATGTAGGTTTCTCTAGGAGTTTTGGCCCAGTTTTGCAATCTTTTGCGGGTGGGGTCGGGAGCAATGACGTTCACATGGACTTGCACACGTATTTGATGCTACGTTATAGGGTGGGGTGGGGGCAGCAATGTTCACTTGCACTTGCACATGTACTTGATGTTACGCTATGAACTCTTCACTTGCACGTGCGCATGTACTGGATATGTGAATGTTTGCAACATCACAGCTGATGCTGTCCGCTAGCTGTGAAAACGAACTTGGAGAAAACAACTTTGGCATCTTAAAGCTATCTAAAAATGCACATGATCAGAACATGATGGCAAGAACACGCATGCAAAAATTATTTCCTTAGAGTGCTCACCAGCAACTGACATCATTTCTGACATCTGTTGTGGCATCTTATTTGATTTCCTATCTGACCTAGATTATTGCATTCTATATTTCTGGCATTTCATCTGGCATTCTTTCTGACATGCATTCTGACAATTTATTTGACATGCTATCTGACATTCCTTTTGGCATTTTATTGGGTGTATATTCTTACATTCTTATAATTTTTTTTGACATTCTATTTGAAATGTATTCCGTCATGTTATTGGGCATTCTATCTGGCACAAAATATTCTGACGTTCTATCTGGCATTTGATCTGACATTCTGACGTTCTGTCTGGCATTTTATCTGGCATTCTGACGTTCTATCTCCCTTCTATCTGGCATTTTATCTGGCATTCTGACGTTCTGTCTGGCATTTTATCTGGCATTCTGACGTTCTATCTACCTTCTATCTGGCATTTTATCTGGCATTCTGACGTTCTGTCTGGCATTTTATCTGGCATTCTGACGTTCTATCTACCTTCTATCTGGCATTTTATCTGGCATTCTGACGTTCTGTCTACCTTCTATCTGGCATTTTATCTGGCATTCTGACGTTCTGTCTGGCATTTTATCTGGCATTCTGACGTTCTATCTACCTTCTATCTGGCATTTTATCTGGCATTCTGACGTTCTATCTACCTTCTATCTGGCATTTTATCTGGCATTCTGACGTTCTGTCTGGCATTTTATCTGGCATTCTGACCTTCTATCTACCTTCTATCTGGCATTTTATCTGGCATTCTGACGTTCTATCTGGCATTTTATCTGGCATTTTATCTGGCATTCTGACGTTCTGTCTGGCATTTTATCTGGCATTCTGACGTTCTATCTACCTTCTATCTGGCATTTTTTCTGGCATTCTGACGTTCTGTCTGGCATTTTATCTGGCATTCTGACCTTCTATCTACCTTCTATCTGGCACTTTATCTGGCATTCTGACGTTCTGTCTGGCATTTTATCTTGCATTCTGACGTTCTATCTACCTTCTATCTGGCATTTTATCTGGCATTCTGACGTTCTATCTACCTTCTATCTGGCATTTTATCTGGCATTCTGACGTTCTGTCTGGCATTCTATCTGGCATTCTGACGTTCTATCTACCTTCTATCTGGCATTTTGTCTGGCATTCTGACGTTCTGTCTGGCATTTTATCTGGCATTCTGACGTTCTATCTACCTTCTATCTGGCATTTTATCTGTCATTCTGACGTTCTGTCTGGCATTTTATCTGGCATTCTGACGTTCTATCTACCTTCTAGCATTTTATCTGGCATTCTGACGTTCTATCTACCTTCTGTCATCTGGCATTTTATCTGGCATTCTGACGTTCTGTCTGGCATTTTATCTGGTATTCTGACTTTCTATCTCCCTTCTATCTGGCATTTTATCTGGCATTCTGACGTTCTATCTACCTTCTATCTGGCATTTTATCTGGCATTCTGACCTTCTATCTACCTTCTATCTGGCATTTTATCTGGCATTCTGACGTTCTGTCTGGCATTTTATCTGGCATTCTGACGTTCTATCTACCTTCTATCTGGCATTTTGTCTGGCATTCTGACGTTCTATCTACCTTCTATATATATCTGGCATTTTATCTGGCATTCTGACGTTCTATCTGGCATTTTATCTGGCATTCTGACGTTCTGTCTGGCATTTTATCTGGTATTCTGACTTTCTATCTCCCTTCTATCTGGCATTTTATCTGGCATTCTGACGATCTATCTACCTTCTATCTGGCATTTTATCTGGCATTCTGACGTTCTGTCTGGCATTTTATCTGGCATTCTGACGTTCTATCTACCTTCTATCTGGCATTTTATCTGGCATTCTGACGTTCTATCTACCTTCTATCTGGCATTTTATCTGGCATTCTGACGTTCTGTCTGGCATTTTATCTGGCATTCTGACGTTCTATCTACCTTCTATCTGGCATTTTATCTGGCATTTTATCTGGCATTCTGACGATCTATCTACCTTCTATCTGGCATTTTGTCTGGCATTCTGACGTTCTATCTGGCTTGTATTCTTGCATTGTATGTGACGTTTGATCTGGCATGCTCTCTGAAAAATCATCTGGCATATCCGGCCTGCTGGCATGGAAGCTCGCCTTTCCGTTCGGGTCTGGGGCCCAGAGAGCCTGCTCGCGATAGAGTGGGCGTGCAGGCTACGAAGCTGGCGAGGAAGCTGTCGATCACATTGGCTATGATCTTGGCCACTTGGCAAGGAGGATGAGCAGGAGGATGAGCAGGAGGACGCGGAGGAGAAGGAGGAAACACGGGATGCATTCGTACAAAATCTATAATAGATGCCCTCATCTGGCAGGTTGGCAAGAAAAAAAGCAAAGCTGGTCGGTCCGGTTTCCGGGCCGTACTGAAGTTGTTGTATGGGATTTATGACCGGTCCATGGCACTGAGCTCCCCAGCTACGCGCGCCTTGGACGCAACTTCTTGCCTGCCAATCTCCACAACTCAATGGCTTGTTGGTGATATCACCAAGCAATGGTGGAAATGTGAGGACTTGCAGCTCGTGTCTAGTTTGGTTTGACTCAAGCAAAACGTTTAAGCTGACACCCCCAACAGAAAAAGACGCAGAAAGTGTGTATCGACAGGTTTCGGGCTTGTAGAACCCATGCTGGGTAGTGCTCCGGAGGTCGATTCATGAATCTTGTGAAGCATAAGTGGGTTTGTCTAAAATTAGTGTATCATCATGTTCCCAATTAAATGAACTAAATGGTCTCCCCCAGTTCCAGACGCATCCACATGGCAAAAGCCCATCTCTTTCTCAGAGCTTTGCTCTGAGTTCCCCGCCTGGTTGTCCCTTCAGCTCCAGTAGAGAACTGCCAAGGCCCAACATTGCGACGTTGCGACAGGAAATCCACAGGGATCTTCCCAAAAACTGCTCACATCAATGGTCCATTTGATCTTCTCAGAAAGCCGATAAATATACCAAGCAAAAGCAAATGTTTCTGAAGCTCTTCGCAAGCAGACTTTCAAGTCTCAATCAAGCTCATGTTTTCGAAGATCTAAATAAGTGGAAGATTGTCTTTACTATCACTCCAACTTAAATCATCATTGCCAAACTAATATCATCGAAGGATCCTTCGTCAGTTCGTACCAGGTCAGGGGCCGCACCTCAAGGTGGTTGCCGATCTCCAAGAAGCACTTGGACAGCTCAACGATGTCCAGGTGACCTTGACCTCAATGAGCACAGCTGATTTTCCCTTGAAAGAACATACATATACAAAAATCATCAGAAAATCAAATAGATTCAGGTAAAAAGTGCCTGGCTTGATCCAAATAAACAATAATAAACATAATATGACCAACTTGAAACAAAAGGATGCACTGGCAGTCAACTTGCAACTTGAAACCAAGTTGCTGTTGCGCGGCACCTTCCCAAGACTTACCTCCAATTCTGGCTGGATGTGAAGCTCTTTACTCAACTTATGGTTCGTACAAGAGGCCTGATTATATCCATTCCATTCCTTCTATGAATAAAGTGAACGACTCTGCGTCGACAAGTCACACCATCCCACCTGGCCTGAAGTTCTTGGCTCAGTTCACTTCCTGGAACATCAGAATTCAATCAACAGCTCTGAAAATAGACCCACCAGCACGCTGCAGTATCACTTGCTGAAAACTTTCAAGAGTGTCCGGCTAAAAATCAATCGATTCAAGGCCCCAATGAAGGTCCCAATGAAGGCCCTAGCCCACCTGGCCTCATACCCCCCCAACCGCTCTCTCTGCCTTCTATCGCTTCTTGAAGTTCTTCCGGCGACAAGGCGCCTTTGCCGTCCTTGTCATATTGCTTCAAGTGGTCTAAGTAGTCCACCATTACCTGTGTGCATCACACAAGCAGAAGTCATCAGCACCGCCCTCCTGATCTGATGTTTGACCCGCCTGAGCTTGTCTGAAACATTTCCCCAACTTTTCCTGCGCAATGCTGTATGGCTGGCGAAATTGGATGAAATTAAATCTGCAACTTTCATTCAGATCATTCAGAGCTGAGTTTGAAGGTGACTCCTGCATAAAATGGTGAAACCTCTCTTGATCGATGCTCTTGGGACCACCCAGATCTTCCAAATACTTTTCAACCTGATTCTCGCGGCTGTCGAATCGCAGCTGACCAACTCAAAAACCAACAGCCACAACAGAAATCGCAGGTGTCCGGGCGCAGAATCTAGCACCAATTGCTGCCAAAGATCGGCATCTTGCGTAGGGTTCATACCAAGGACACGCATGGCATGCCCAAGTCGTTCGGCCGGAACTCCAGACGTCTGAGAGAAGTGTGCGAACACAGCATCAATGGAGCCAATGATCTGGTTGAACATCATGTTGTCGACCTTACCCACCAACAAGGTCCCGCACCGCTGGATTTTTGTTCGCGTTTCATCTCTGGGTTTGGAAGCCTGATGCATCCTGATTTATAGACTTCTGAGGATAATCTACTCGTGCTTTTGTGATAGGATCAGCCTAGTCGAATTGCCGGTGTTGATGGAAAACGTATCACAAGCCATGAAGAAGAATCCCTGATTCCTCATCATCCGTTTCGATTGTCTTGCATCGCACCATGATCCCCTGCAACAAAATCCACCAAGTAATGGATTGAGGGAAAATTCTAACCAGAAACCATGGTATGAAATCTTCAATGGTTCCTGCAGATTTTCCCTTTAAGAATCAGCAACCGCCACACATTTCCCCTGGCATTCCCTGAGCCGCGGAACCGCAGGGCCACGTCCATCCGTGTCCAGGATCACCTCTGTTTGATTATTGCTGCTTCAAGCACCTGTATTCAGGATTTCCAAGGATGATTTAGGGGTACCCCCATTTATGGAAACCCCCATTCTGCCAGACTTAAGCTGCGTCAGATTTGAACAGAAAGCCAAGCCAGATCACCCAAGAAATGCGGCAACCCTTCCAGTACCTCGTCCGGATCTGCTGACGCAGCATCTTTGGCTGCCTCGCCAGTTGCAGGTTTTTAATTCCCGCAGTCAGGAAATTGGACATCATGAAACGAAACCGAGGTCATACTCTGACTTCCTCTATGGATCACAGCTATACCCCCAAATCTCCAAAGATCATCACAAATTAATATCTCTGGAGGTCTGGAAGTCTCGAAGCTGGCAACTTCTCTTGTCTCTAAAGACATTTGCTGCCCCAGCGTAGACAGGAATGGTGGCACTAAAGAACCGCCCAATCGATATGGCTCTTTGTTCTCACTACCTGTTGTGCTTTATGCTGCATGTCATGAAACACCATCACCAAATGCTCCCGCTGTGAGCCTCAGCAGCTGGCAGCTTTTCCAGGGCAGCCTACAAGGCTCGGCACCGGCTATTCGGCCACGATGTCAGCACACAGATGAGCCGGCGCAACACAGATTTCGATGTGGAAACATGCCGAGATCTTGTGGGTGAACGCGTAGACTCTCAAATTCTGAACATCAAGAACTGGGATGATATGGATGATATGGATGATACGCAACAGGATTATCCAAAGGAATATAGCTTGGATTGGCCGAGGAAGGTCCCCGGAGTCCCTGTTGGATTTGGCCTCGAGCTGGTCATTTGCAGCGTGCAATTCTTGCAGGTCATCCAAGGCTTTCAGAATTTGTTCCTGGCACAGCCCACAAGAGACCATGCAAATCATGCAAAAGAGCTCTGAGATACCAAAGGCCCCTGTTTGAATGGTTTGTCAAGCTGTGTTGAAACTGACCGTGATCTGATATGATTTGGGTATTCAAATACCAAGACGTCAACTCCCACATTTCGGAGATGCATCCAGCTGCATGGCTAGAAGCTTGTTCAAATCAAGACACGTTCGTCTCCAGAGAATCGGATGCACTCAAAATTCTGGAGGCCAAAAGACTCAATCTTCCAATGACCAAAATTCTTCCAATGACTTCAACTTAAACCCTTGGAAGCCATTCCAAACCATTCCAAACCATTCCAAACTCACTGATCTGGTCGATTTTGCCCTTTTCATCCCTTTTCCATGTTGCACACCTCAGCTGCAACGTCCGCAGATGTCTGAGCTTTTAGGTCTTCCAGCAAAGCTCTGACTTCCTGCGGGCCCCGATTCGAAGAACTGAGAACTTGTGGTCTTAACAACAAGCAATTCCTCAACAAAACATGTTCCTGTTGGCACAAAAGTCCTTTTGACGACTAGGATGTTGAGGTCAATTCACATATCGTACGTTGTGGTGGAATGGCCCCAACCCTGTGCCCTCTCCCCGTCCTTTTCCTGCGAGGAATCTTGCACCCGAGCTCTCAACTTCGCCACGTATCCCTGAAGTTAGTTAGTACCCCCAGCAAAGGTCGCTGCACTGCCAGTACCCCGCCAGTACCCCATTACCCCCACCAGTCCCAGGATTTCTTGCATTCCTATGGCCATTGTGGTGCCCTGTGCGATCACCATTTCCAGATTCACAACTCCGCAAACAGAACAGACTGAGAATCTTGGGATCCCCCCATACTCGCAGACAAGGACATCTTTCAAACTTTGAGAAGTCAGAGCCAGAAAGTTAATGAAAGTTATATGGAGTTATACGTTAATATTCATTGACAAAGATTTAGATCGGTCACGATTTGGCCAGACGATTGAAAAGTATGTTCCACTGCTTCCCACGAGGTCACTGAGAGCATCCAGGCAGAGCCGAAGCTCCACCTTCTCCCGTGCCATGTTTTGCTTCCGAAGGTCATGGCAAGATGCCAACAGTTCGGCCTTTGATCCGGAAATCAGGTTCAAAAAACGAAACGACCTGCAGCCCTCACAAAACACGTGTCACTCCGAAAATCCAAAAGTATAGCAACAGACCACGCAGATCTTCTATGACCTGTGGGTCAGGAAAACGCAGATCTTCTATGTCCAAGGTGAAACCGAGGGGAAACTCCTAGCAACTCCTTGGCAGCTGGTGCTACAGAGGTGCCCCATGTGACAATGTGACATCGAGAGGCCTTCAAACCGTCTGAAGGTAAGGCGTCAGGAAACATCTCCTTAGCAATCGAAGCCGAGTCCCCGATGGGAACCAGTGGAAAACCGAACGTGGATGGTGTTTGAGTGGGGCTTGGATGGTTCTCATTCGTGTTCGCATCAAGTTGCAGTTTCAACAACGGCCCAACTGACCCAGATTAGACAGAACTTGACAAGTGAAAACCAAGCTTTGGCATTTACACCCAACATGCCCGCTCGAATTTGCAGATTTGTAGACAACCACCACAAAACCCAGGTATTCGACTAGGACTCCCTGCAGTGGCCACATGGACATCATTCGAGGCCATAGGGCAGCCACTGGAGGTGCCGGACCCGGAAAATGGTGAGACTTCAGTGAAACAGCCCGAACATCGAAACTTGCAAAAAGAAGTCATTGGTGAATCTACTTGGTTGCCGCCCTCAAACCCTCATTTGTCCTCATTTGTCCTCATTATCAGTGGGTGGATTTTTGAGATCGCTAATTTTTGGACCTGAAAATGCTGAATCAAGGGATTGAACAGATATTTGCCATGAAAGAATCAAAGGATCCCCCTGGAGCCCAAGACACACCGGAATCTGGCTGTAAAATGCCTTGGGACCCTGAAACTGCAGCGGTTGATTGTCCACTTGGACGATAGTCAGATGGTCCAATCCGAACTCTTCGATGGTGTGATACCTCAAAATATCTCAAAATGGAGACAATGCAAAAAAATGGCCATAGGACTGCTAACTGGTGATTTTTACCATGGGAGTTGGGGGTACCAAGACCATCCAAGACCATCCAAGACCTGGTCTGGCTGGTCAAGAATTGGATTCCTAGGATGATGCTCATCCCCCAATATATTTCATAGATATTCATAGATATTTATCACCCAAACTAATATGATTGGGGATTATCATCCAGATTCAGCAAACTCTGTGAGGTCCTGTCATGGTGTACCTGAAAAGGTGGGAGACCGTCAAAGTGGCCATTTTCATGTTGGAAAAATATGAAAACCATGAAATTCGGGGCATTTTCCCAACACTTTCAGAGAAAGCCAGATGACCTCAAGAATTCTTGGTCACTTCCTGGTCCTGGATGTTTAAATTATGATCCACAGCAATTTGGCTCTCCGTCATCGTGGCGGGTTGGAAAGCCCCTTTAATAGATGATGTTCCCAGTAGGAATGGGAATTTTCCGGGTGCTATGTTGGATTGCTGGAATTGTTGGGTCATCAAAACCATAGTGCAGACAGAATTGAAGGCTTGGTATGGCATGGACATGTATCATCCATGAATTGCCTGCTGTAGGTTTGGATCTCCCGAAATCGTGTCGACGTCTCCTGCGGACTCAGTCTCGGTTGCAACGAATTGCGGCCGCAGGAATTTTCCACCGCAGGACTCCGCCGATCGCGGACTCTTCGGCGGTTCATCTTCCATCACTCCTGGGTTCTGCGAAGCAGGCGGCATTATGTTAAATTTGAGGATCTTTTTCAAACGAACGGAAGAAACACATCCAAACTGCTGACCAAGTGGGGTCTGAAAGTTTTATAACTAGTACCAGAAAAATTCGGAAAAAACAGAAAGGCAAATTTTGCGGGTCTTGGTACCCCAATGAGCTCATGAAGCTATGTGCTGTGCACCCTGAAACCATCTCAGATCCAAGGCTCCCAGATCACCCCCAGAACCACTGCAGAAAACCTGGTTGGTCCTGGCTGGAAACGTCGCTTCTTAGAGGATTGCCCTGCAGAAATTGAGGGATTTCCCACTACAAAGCGGTTATTTGTTAAAACTGGTTGGATGGGAGGCACAGGAGACCTAGTGTCCAAGTGTCCATGGTACTTGCGGTCAAGGTGAACAGGCCAAAAGCAAAAGGTCATGAAACTCCACAAGCACAGGCAGACATATCAGAGTTTCAAATGCACTGTAGACTGTAGCCCATCCTTTTTAACACAAAGATAGAAACAAGAGACAAAAGCTCAACGAAAACGGACCGCTCGAACAGATCAAGTTGGTTGCATTGCAAGGTCAACCAAATTACCCGTTGTCATTTTTGAAGATGCAGCTTTCTTCACAGCAAGGCAGTGTTGATTTGTAACGGCACTCAAGGAGCTTCTTGGAAGTTCACAAGAGGAATCGCATCTGAACAAGGTGAAACATGTCCAACGAAAACAGAAAGAAAGACATTGCAAATAATGCAAGCGGTCTGGGAAATTCACTGGAGCTTGTTGAGTACAGCCTTAAAAGGACAAAATCAATGTCAGTGCTATCGGAGGTTCTTGCGTAAGACTATCAGCTTTGATTGGGTTCGGCTAAGCCTTAGGCTTTTCCTGCCCACAAAAAGACTGAAAAACCGATACTTTGCCACTCTCAGCTGATCACAGATGCAAATATCTGGTCGTCAACAGTCCAGTCCCTCATCTCCATCACCCATGGTGAACCATGTCTCGGACACACACAAAACATCGTTGCAGAATCATGTGTATTCATGTGTATCTATCACAAAAAAAAAACGTAATTACTGCCAAATCCATCCAAATCCCGTGCTTTCAAAGGATCATGTTTGCTGGTTTGCTCTTCCAAATCACCCGTTTTAAGATAGCAAACCCAGTTCTTCATCTTTGTCCGTGCTCAGCTGTCCCGTGGAACTACCTGCTTCAACTCCGTTGTGGTGAAGCTTCCCTTCATCCTTTCGTCCATGCGAAGTTGCGAGAAATGGGTGAAGCTCAGGACCACGAAAACGAGGAACATGGTCCCCAGCCAGATGAAATTCCCCACGTTGCGTAGCAAAATGAAGGGCGAATCCTCCACCGTTTTGTCCCCGCTACAGTTCTCGTAATCGTCCGGCAAAGGGAACTTGAGGATGAACATGAAATAGGAACAGCGGCCAAAGGTCACAACACCTGATGAAGTTTTCATGGGAAAAATCTCTGGGGAAACCATGGAACCAAATGGAACCTTTGTTTCCGTGAAATATCACGGTTTCCTCTCAATGGTGCCATCATCCAATGGACCGTGGCGAACAAAAAATGTGAGGCTCCACATGTGATGGTGTGTTGGAGTGGCCACTTGGCGAGAGAGAGAGAGAGAGAGCAATCATCGAAACTACCCTTTACCTATGGAAAGGGAATTAAAAACAGGGATGACAAAAAAGATGGCAAAGTAGATTACTATCAAAGGAATTCTGTGATTTCTCCATGAAGTTTTCCATTTTTTGAGGTTCAACCCCTGTAAACAAGGCATTTTTGCACATTTTTGCACCACGGCTGAACCCCTCCCTGCCTGCCATCATGAACATGGTCATGAAAAAGAACAAGAAACGCACATAGAAGTACCACTTTTGGAAGCGCTCCTGTGCCTGGTGGAATGGATAAAATAGATAAAGTACGTGGATCTAAACCAGCCAAAAATGGGGACTTCACCAACAACTGATGATCATCGAATCATCAATGGATTGGAGGGAAATTGTCAGGAAAAAAGTTTCCAATAATCAAATTTAACCACGGTTTTCCTGCAGACTTCCTGCAGACTTCCCCGGTTTTCCGGAAGGGGATTTTTTCCGTCCCTTAAATCATCTCACTGGGTGACAATGAAGTTATGCACTTCTGGGAATATGAACTAAAGTTACAGTAATTGATTTTAAAAAAAATGAAGTTGAACTATCAACATCTATCAACATCTATCAACATCTATCAACATCTATCAACATCTATCAACTATATAGAATCTATCCACTGATGAATGATTTAAAAAAAAACGACCAGGTGCAGTGTCGTCATCGAGGTTCAATCCTGACAAGGACAGGTATACCATAACCACCATCAAGACGTTGTTGCTGAGAAAGAGACTTGACAAGAAGACTTCCAGTCGTAGAGCGTCCGCGGCCGCGAGAGGGTTTGGGTCGGACGCAAAAAGACACTTTGAAAGCCGAAGGCTTGCCTCAGTTTCACGAGGCTAGTTGGGTTGTCGGTATAAACCAGAAATGTTCGATTAAAAAAAAAAACTTTCTTCGAGTGATCCCCACCCTGACACACGATCTGGAAATATGTATATACGTATATATATATATATTATATATATACTATATCATATTGTGCTATACTATATTTTATTTTATCATATTGTATTATATCATATTATACTATATCATATTATATTATATCATATTAAACTATATTGTATTATATCATATTATATTATATCATATTATATTATATCATATTAAACTATATTGTATTATATCATATTATATTATATTAGATTAGATTATTATATATATATATATTCTGATGTTCTATCTGGCATCTATTCTTGCATTCTATTTTTGACATTCTAACTGGCAATCTATCATTTCTGTCTGGCATTCTCTGTGCTTCCTTCTGGCATTCTCTCTGGCATGAGTTCGGGTCGGAGGCGGAGGAGGAGCAGAAGGAGAAGAAGGAGTTGCACCTTTGTGAAAATCTAGAGACCCTCACCTGGCAGGTGGGGAAAACACAATCAGTCTTACTTTGCAGCTTGGGATATGAAAACGATACCTTGAAAATGGCCATTTTCAATGGGTAAATCCACTATAAATGGCCGTGTTCAATAGCTATGTTAAATTACCAGAGGGTATTTTCAGAACGAATGTGCCCTTTTTCGTGACCATCTTTGCTGCTCCGATTCCTATTATGAGTTACAATAATCTCCAACAAACCCGGCAATCTAACTTGCTATATTCATTTGCCATTCAATTATATTCATTTATCAATGATATCCCCGTATGTTTGCTGTTTAAAGACCCTATAAACAATGGTTACATCATGTAAGTTACATCCCACTAAATCACCAACCAACAGGGCTTTTTGATGTGTCTCAGTTGAATTGCTTCTTTCAACTCGTCATAGTCAAAGGCCCCCGGGTATGAGATCACAATCGCAATGAGCAGCGCGCTCAAGAGAGCCTGCACGTTCAAGGAGTCCTTGATGGCATCCACGGATGGGGTGCCATTGAAGAAGATGTCATAGAGGATGTTCAAGCCAGGAATATACTTCACCCACCTGGCCGCTCCCATGATTAACCAAGGGCTCGTCAAAAAAACGGCTCGAGCCAAGCTGAGGGTTGAGAAGCTTCAAGATTACGGTGCTGGAGGAGTCATTTACCAAAAAAAAGAACATCTGGGCCAGAAAATGACGGAAAAAAACAAACACATAAAATAAAACATCATAAAACATCTGAAATTAACCCAGCTTTGCAACCCAACAGCATACCTGAATCTTCCACCTACGTCTTTTTTCAGACCCTGTGCCAAAATCCTGTTTTTTCAGTACCCAGAAAACTTTTCAGGACCTACTCTCAAATTCAGGACCTGGCCATTTTGGGGTATCAATGGTAATGGCAATCATTGGGTGCAAACATGTGAAACCAACATTTGGGGATATTCAAGCCATTGGCATTGATCCACGCAAATAAAAGCACTCCCAGCCCAAACTCATGGCAAGGCAGGATCAGAATATAGTATATTCCAGAAAGTATGTCAGAATAGATGCCAGATAGGATGCCAGAAAGAATGTCAAATAGAATTTCAGAAAAGAATGTAAGATAGTATGTCAGAACATATGTGCCACATATACGTCCAGATGATATGTCAGAAACTATGTCAGAATAGTGTGTCAGGGTGGGGATCACTCTTAGTAAGGCAATTTTGAAAATATATTTCAGGTTCGGAATTTTCAAACTGTTGTCCTTCAGGCGCCGAAGCTCCCGTTGAAGGTCAGCATCGCCCCATGTCAACTGGTCCAGTCCCACTTCCATTTCAACAAGTCCAACTTCATCGATTAGGGTGTTGGTTGAATGGACTTGGGACTCTAGCTGGCACGGCATCCCTTGTAACCCTGTAGACACTGTAGTGGGCAAAAAGATTGTAACACACAGAATCAGCATCATTTTGATCAGGCATTCTTTTTGCTAATCCTTTCTCCCTATTACGAAAAATACCCCCAAATGACAAAAACTAGGTGCGATTTCCAATTTTGGGAAATGTCAAATTGGTTAATCTGATTTTTAATTGATCCCCTTGAGGAAACAATTTTAAAAATGAAGGTACCATGTGAGGGTTTCACCCCCAAAGAATAAAAAACTAGTCAACACCGGGGTGTCTTTTATTGGGGTCCGTCCTTTAAAATCGTCAATTTTAGTTTTTTAATTCAGGTGTTGGTGTTTTATTTGATACTAGGCGAAAGCTGCGAAATCCTATTCTTGGCAGTATTCTATTTAAAGATTATTTTCATGGATTTTGAAATTAGAAACAAAAAACGGTTTAATCCCTTCCCCCTGTTGCTAAACAGTCGCCCCTTCACCCACCCACCCAAATAACAAACACCTGGAGGAATTTTTAGTATTGGGGGGGTCTTTAGTATTAGGGTACGAAGCTTCCCCCTAATACTGATAAAAAAACACACACACACACGCGCATATATATATATATACACATATTTCTATTTAAAAATCGATCAGATTTCTTTCTTTTTAAATCCAATTAAAATATGGCAAACAAGTGGATTCCGAAGCTTAATATCAAATAAAAACCCCCAACATAAAAAATTATGTATGTTTTTCTTTTTCGAAATCGATTAGATTTCCTTTTAAAAATTTTAATAAAATATGGCCAAAAAATTGGATGTCGAAGTTTTTCCCTTATATTAAACCCTAATATCATTTTGTTTTTTTCCTGTTTCAAAATCGATTAGATTTCCTTTTGAAATCTAATGAAAAAAACAAAAAAATGATTTTGAAGCTTTCCCCTAATATCAAATTAAAATCCAATTATTAAAATATGTTCAAAAATTGGATTTCGATGCTTCCCCTAATCTTGCATGAAAAATTCCAATATAAAAAAACTAAATTTGTTCTATTTCAGAATCGATTAGATTTCCTTGTAAATTCAAATTAAGATATTGCCAGAAATTGGATTTCGAAGCTTTCCCCTAATATTAAACCCTCATATCAAAGACTATTTTTTCTATATCAAAATTCATTAGATTTCCTTTTGAAATCTAATTAGAATATGGTCAAAAATTGGATTTTGAAGTTTTCCCCTAATATTACATTAAAAAACCCTAATATAAAATATTATTTTTTCTTTTTTGAAATCGATTCGATTTCCTTTTAAATTGTAGTAACAAAAATAAAAACAAAAACCGGATTTCGAAATGTTTCCTCTAATATTAAATTACCAGCCCTAATATATTTAAAAAAAAAACTGTTTCAAAATCGATTAGTTTTCTGTTTAACATATAATTAAGATATTGCTAAAAATTGGATTTCGAAGTTTTCCCCTAAGATTAAATTAAAAACACTAATTTAAAAAAAACTATGTTTTTTCGATTTCAAGAATCGATTAGATTTCCTTTTGACATCCAGCAAAAATATTGCCAGGCAATGCCAAAAAGTGGAATTCGAAGTTTTCCCCCAATATTATATAAACGTTGTAATATAAAATACTTACTTTTTCGACCTTAAAAGACCCTAGTTTAAAAAAACACCGGGGCTGGCTAGTTTTTATTTTTTGGTGGTGAAATTCTGAAATGGGACCTTCATGTTTAATTTGTTTTTGAAAAGGTATCAATTAAAAGTCAAACTGGCCAGCCTGAAATTTCCCAAAATTTAACGCGGACCCTAGTAAAAGGAATCAATGTAATATTTTAGTATTTAGGGTACGTTTAGTAAAAGGAGATGGGGATTAGTAAGGTTTTCAATTTAATATAAGGGGAAGCTTCGAAATCCAATTTGGCAAGATTTGAGTTAGATTTTGAATAGGAATTCAATCGGTTTTGAAATATAAAGTTCATTTTTTAAAACAAATGTTTTCAATTTAATGTCAGGGGGAAGCTTCGGAATCCAATTTTGGCAATATTTTAGTTAGATCTTATTTAAAAAATGTTTTCCAATTTAGTTTTTTTAACCAAGGGGGAAGTTTCGCACTTTCATACTAAATACCCACTAAATACAAAAAACTATTCCGTGTGTTCATTATTGGGTGGGGAGGGGCAGACGGTTTATTATGACGCAGGGATTGGTCAGGCATCACTTGCCGGAATTATTGGATTCTTTTGGGATGATTGGTTTGATGTTTAGTCAGGCATGGTTCCCTTCAGTCATGCACGATTTTTGCAAAAATCCTATTTAGGCAGGACCCCAAAATCCCAGCCCGGCAAATTCCGGCCCGGGCCCGGCAAATTCCGGCCCGCGCCCTGCAAATTCCGGCCCTGCGTTTTTCCAAAATCAGGCAAAACCAGTAGATCAGGTATTAAGTCAGGTGTAGTTACCTTTTAAGTCATTAAAGCTAGTCAGGCATGGTTCCAGTGGGTACCTTTTAATTGTGAAGGCTAGTCAGGCATGGTTCCCTTAATTCAGAGGCATGGGTACCTTTTAATTATGAAGGCTAGTCAGGCATGGGTTCTGTTAAGTCAGGCGTGGGTGGGTACCTCTTAATTATGAAGGCTAGTCAGACATGGTTCCCTTAAGTCGGGTGTGGTTACGCTTTAAGTCATGAAGGCTAGTCAGGCATGGGTACCTTTTAAGTGATGAAATCTGAATCAGGCGGAGCTCCTATTCTAAATGTGTTAAATAAAATTGTTCAGTGTGGAAAATCGATTTTTTTTGGCTGGTCTACGGGCAAACCCTGTGTCTTCCAATACCATAGCGTGCTGATGCCGCTTGCCTGCATAATAGTTAAGGCCAAAGCTTAGGTCATCAGTGTGATCCTGAAATGGCGCCACGACCAAGAAGATGACATGTGTAAAATGGGCCCTGGATTAACAAAGGCTGACTAATGAATTTGGAGGATGCCACTAAAGTATGACATGTAATCACTTTTGAGGAGCACTCTATGGCACGCAGCGCGCGCAGCCTGCTTTACGGTTTAGCGTTTGAAAGTTTTAGGCTTTGTCTCTATGGCACGCAGCGTTTGAAAGTTTAACCGTTTACCTCTATGGCAGGCTGTGCGCGCAGTACGCGTTACGGTTTAAAGTTTGAAAGTTTTAGGGTTTATGTGCGTGTGGCACGCAGTGCGCGCAGCGCGCATTAGGGTTCAGGGTTTGGAAGTTTTATAGTTTATTTTATTGCATGCAGCGTGCACGGTTCCAGGGTTCCAAGGTTGCAGGGTTCCAGAATCCTTGAGGGTCCCAGGGTGCCAAGGTTCCAAGGTTTCAGGGTTCCACGGTCGCAGGGTTCCAAGGTTCCAGGGTTTCAGGGTTCCAGGGTTCCGGGTTCCAGGGTTCCAGGGTTCCAGGGTTCCGGGGTTCCAAGGTTTCAGGGTTCCAAGGTCCAGGGTACCAAGGTACCAAGGTACCAGGGTCCCACAGTTTCAGGGTTCCAAGGTTTCCACGGTTCCAAGGGTTCCAAGGGTTCCAAGGGTTCCAAGGGTTCCAAGGGTTCCAAGGTTTCAGGGTCCCAGCAGGGTGCCAGGTGTGCAGGGTTGCAAGGTTCCAAGGTTGCTGGGTTCCAGAATCCTTGAGGGTTCCAGGGTGCCAAGGTTCCAAGGTTTCAGGGTTCCACGGTCGCAGGGTTCCACGGTTCCAGGGTTTCAGGGTTCCAGGGTTCCGGGGTTCCAGGGTTCCAGGGTTCCAGGGTTCCGGGGTCCCACGGTTTCAGGGTTCCAAGGTTTCCACGGTTCCAAGGGTTCCAAGGGTTCCAATGGTTCCAGGGTTTCAGGGTCCCAGCAGGGTGACAGGTGTGCAGGGTTGCAGGGTTCCAAGGTTCCAGGGTTCCGAGGTTGCAGGGTTCCAGAATCCTTGAGGGTTCCAGGGTGCCAAGGTTCCAAGGTTTCAGGGTTCCACGGTCGCAGGGTTCCAAGGTTCCAGGGTTTCAGGGTTCCAGGGTTCCGGGGTTCCAGGGTTCTGGGGTTCCAAGGTTTCAGGGTTCCAGGCTTCCAGGGTTCCAGGGTTCCAGGGTCCAGGGTTCCAGGGTTTCAGGGTTCCAGGATCCCAGCAGGGTTCCAGGTGTGCAGGGTTGCAGGGTTCAGGGTTCCAAGGTTCCAGGGTTCCAAGGTTGCAGGGTTCCAAGGTTTCAGGGTTCCACGGTCGCAGGGTTCCAAGGTTCCAGGGTTTCAGGGTTCCAGGGTTCCGGGGTTCCAGGGTTCCAGGGTTCCAGGGTTCCGGGTTCCAAGGTTTCAGGGTTCCAGGGTTCCAGGGATCAGGGTTCCAGGTTCCAGGGTACCAGGGTACCAGGGTCCCACGGTTTCAGGGTTCCAAGGTTTCCAGGGTTCCAAGGGTTCAAGGGTTCCAAGGGTTCCAAGGGTTCCAGGGTCCCCAGGGTGCAGCAGGGTGCCAGCAGGGTGCCAGCAGGGTGCCAGCAGGGTGCCAGCAGGGTGCCAGGTGTGCAGGGTTGCAGGGTTCCAAGGTTCCAGGGTTCCAAGGTTGCAGGGTTCCAGAATCCTTGAGGGTTCCAGGGTGCCAAGGTTCCAAGGTTGCAGGGTTCCAGAATCCTTGAGGGTTCCAGGGTGCCAAGGTTTCAGGGTTCCACGGTCGCAGGGTTCCAAGGTTCCAGGGTTCCAAGGTTGCAGGGTTCCGGGGTTCCAGGGTTCCAGGGTTCCAGGGTTCCGGGCTTCCAAGGTTTCAGGGTTCCAGGGTTCCAGGGTTCCAGGGTTCCAAGGTTCCAGATTTTCCAGGATTCCAGGATTCCAGATTTTCCAGGATTCCAAGGTTCCAGGGTTCCAGGGTTCCAGGGTTCCAGGGTTCCAAGGGTTCCAGGGTTCCAAGGTTCCAGGGTTCCAGGGTTCCAGGGTTCCATTCCGGATTTTGAAGGCTGCAAGTCCCCGCGAGCCAGCCCCAGCCCTAGAGATTGAAACCCAACAGGCCCTGCTGTTGGGAATTATGTGCGTCCCCAAATCTTTAGACATCTCCGAATCATTGACTCAAATTAGGGATCTGGTCCGCTGACAACATAAATCAATACGTAATCAGGACGTCCAAGTGTTCGCACCAGAAATTCAGGAAGAACTAGTATGATAAACAGTCGTTCTCTTCACCAACAGCGGGTGTTCAATGCCATGTGTATAAAAAGTAGCTATGCATGTTGTACATTCAACCAGAAATCAACCGCCAATGACGGGTATTTCAATCTATCCAAACTATCATCAACCCCCCTCCAACACACCTATTATGTATACCGCGCCATGAATTCAGTGACATACGAGAAGTCTGCGATATCGTTGGTACCCTCTCCCCATTTAGTTCGATCGTTTTCCCTGCAAGATGATGACTTTCCAATGTCAAATTTACCGGCAGGTAAAGGAATAGAGAGCACTGGATCAAAAAAAATATGATACTGCAACCGTCAAGGAACCTGAGCTTAAAAGGAGCCGAGTTCTACGGACCAACTGAAGACCAGATCAAAATCTTGAATTTGGCACGCCTTGGTCGCACGCCCAGTGCTACATTCAATTCCAAGCTGATCCGCTCAATGCAGCTGTCGAAAATGTTTGCTGGGCTACCTTCATATGACAATAACCTTCTCATTGCTATGTACCAAATGCAATCACTCTCGATGAAAATTGGAGCCAGCTCTCCTCCTATGTTTGAACTTCTGGACATCATCTCTTTCTGGCCAAAAATGGTTCCATGTACAATGTACACATGGCTGCTTGAGAATGGGGCGATGCCGCGATGCAAAGCAAACCAGTGCCGTGGTAGTTTCAAGCCCCAAAAATAGGTGGAAACCAGGTCCCAGGGACCAAAGTACGACGGGTGCGGAGGTCGTTCCTATGCCGTCAACGTTGGAACAAGTCGAACAAGTCGAACAAGTTGTCTCTAAATGTCGATGCAAGTTGTGTTTTTTGCTTCTTCAAGGCTCAGTAGCCATGGCTCCTCATGCCGACATTCGCAGCATGGGATACACGTCTATGTACATCGCTCGGAGCAGACAAGAACACAAGCATATGATTGAAAGAGGCTTCAGAAGACAAAACATATCAAAACGCAATTACGTTGCTCACTGAGATTCACCATGAGTTTGATTCTTTTAGGTGTATCTAAAGTGTCCAGCATTTCATGAGTTGTTGACTAAAGGAATCCAGCACTTTGCTCCACAAACTTCACAGGAAGGGACCGCACTTGATGCGGGAACCCAGGCTCAATAGCCTTCAGCTTACCATCCATTCAGCACAGGCCACTAATGCCTGTGAGCGGCGCCGGTTGTTCAATTTGCAACGTGCTGACATCCAACAAAGCCCAAAGCATGACACCCCGATCTTTGCAGAAAGATCATGTTTAAGACTGTATCAAGAAAATAATTCAGTGGTGGATTTGTGATTTCCAGTGTGCTTACCCATATCCCAATCATATGAGGCATACTGGGTCTTTCTATTTTCCCAACACTTGGCTGTTGGTTCCGTGCTGAAGAATCTTACAATATTATGCCGCTTCGTCCATGGACAAGATCTATGTCTGATCGTGCCCAGATCCAGTGATTCAAAAAAACACTTTCCCGAGTAAAAGGCAATTTTGAGGATATTATGATATGCCCTATAAAAACATCGATATACCATGATATACCCTATTTCAGGACAAACACACATAAAAAAAACAAGAAACATTGGATGGTGGGAAGCACCTTGATCTGTGGCAAAATGCCCATGCCAATTTTGATGACAATCCCAGCATGCTGCAGTGCCTTGGGACCTTGGGTGGGACCTTGGGCACTTGCAAGTGCCAAGAAATGCCCCATGCATGATGAGCGTCTGATTCCTTTAGCCCATCAAATTGTGAAAGATGTCATACTAATCATACGTCATATGGGTATGGATCAATACTTATTAATACCATTTTTAGGGGGATGAACATCCATAAATCCCAGCTATTTTGATGTGAACTACAGGGGTACAAGGTTTTGACACACTGCCATATTGTAACTCTTGTTGTACTCCCATCTGTCAAATCGCCATCTTTCACACCCCACCTGGTTGTTTCAACGAGCCACCTGAAGGCTTGGCCACACCTCGCAGGGGGTCATTGCAAGAGATGGGATTCATGGGGATTCACACACGGATCATGGGCTTAAGATACAGAAAAATATCATGGTGTCATATGTTTCATCCCGAAAATGACCCATGTGTTGTGAGCGAAAATGTGTAGCCGCGCCAGATCGCCTGATCGCATCCGGAATCTGCTGGACGTTCTCGCGTCGGAAGTCCTGAAAGACATGTAGCTGTTGCGCTCCAATGTCACCTCTCCTAGGTGCTAATGATGTGGAAAGTTGGACCACGGATCCTTTTTTTCCTTTCCTCGTGCAAGAAGGTCTCGCTTGGAGCAACACTGTAAGCAACTCGGCCCTTGTAAAAGTCGGGCTTTACACATCCCAAGGGCACAAAATCCATGCAATCAAACTCAGACAACGTTTCTGTACAGTGTCCAGCATCAGTGCCCATTGCAAATTGAATTACAGCGAGCACGCGGAACCGATCCACCTGGATCAGCATCCCTGTGCCCTGGCGAATTTCAATCATGGCAGCGTGCCACGCCGATAAAATAACCTGCAAACACGCTGGAGGGCGGGAGTGTTGGTGTCAGCTACTGTACTTCTTGAAAAATGGTGCTTCACAACTTCACAGCATCGTAGTGCTTTCAAGGATGCAGTTTTGAACTTCGCACTCTTCGAATGTGTCTGGCACTCGAATCCGGGCCTGGCAAAGCCCGCAAGTGGTTCGTGGACATCAAAATGTGGCGCGGAAAAGGGGTCCCTCGCAGTTGATGTCGTTGCAGTCCGCCTCAACAGAAGCCATTTGTCGATTTCTTGGATGACAAAGTGAAACAAGCGCAACGGAAAGCGTATGAAAAATTGCACACCGCATACCTGTTGATTCAGGTACAGTTGGTGCAGTCCAGTCCCAACCCCAAACCCTTCTAGACTCTAGAGACCTTACGCCCTCTTTGTACGGTCTTATGGCGTGCCTGCCCATTGCCGCCATCTCCGTTCGCCAAGGCTTTCTTCGCAAGTGCTTTGTCCAGCAACCTCGGTAGGGCAGTTCATGGAGATAGCAACTGCAATCCCCCCCGGTTGACTCATTACAAATGCTTTAAGGAATCTCCCTTCCCAAAGTTCACTTGCGGACTTCCACCCAATCCAACACACAAAGTCAATGATTATCAATGATTATGATTTGAGGCCAGCAACTCTCTGCATGTCTGTTCAACAACTTTGCCAATCCACGTGGTCATGACATTCGTCACGTGAGAATCAACATACCGGAAACCGACAGTGTCCTCCCAAGCGAGTTCCGACTCAATTGAAGGGTATACTGCCATAGTTACTACTTACTTCGGATCACAAAACGCAAGATATGCCAGAGTCTTGACAATGTTCAGACATGGATAGACATGGTGACACCTTTCGGAATGGAAGACTTGGTGCAAATCTCAGAATTTATAGAATAGCATATAGGGGGCTTGCATTCAGTGCCTGTGGAATATAGATTTCATGTTAGCTTGCGCACAAGCTGAGCTCCTTGATCATAGATTTCCTTACGTGTCCCAAATGGTTCCGCAAAAGAACTGGAAACAGCAAAAACGAGTTAAAAACGAGCATCCAAACAAATCAAGTCCCAAAAGACGTTGCCAACCAGACTGTATACCCACCTATGCAAAATCATAAGGGAAAAGTTATTCTGATCATTTCTCAGTTACACTTTGAGCTCATCCTCCAACTTCCATGCTTCTGCTCTTGCTGAATCCACCTGAGGCTCAAGGCATCAAAATGGATTCTGTTTCTCGTCTCTTGGGAAAGCTGGGAAAACAAGTGGCCCCCTAGTTGTAGGTTAGTTACGGTTAGTTTGGAAAGACATCCAACTGTAGCTATCTCATGATAGATCCAGAGTCCCATCCATTAGCTGCTGCACCCTCACCTCACTCAGCGCATCGATCACTCTGTCAATGCCTTCAGAACCCGATGCGATCTCACCCTGCAACTGCTTCGCTGTGGCCTTCGGCATGACGAACTGGACCTTCGATCGGGAGAAACACGGGAATTTGGACCTGTCCAAAAATGGGGGATACCCGAAAATGGCCGTGTTAATAGAAAAACGATGATGAATGATGATGAACCATTTGACTTTAGGGGTACAATACTTTGAGACAAAGCCATTTGCTGCTTCAACCGGAAATCTGTTGGTAAACTTGAGCCTGGCTTGAAAACATGAGAAAGCGGTGGGGCCAGCAGAGTGAGATCGTCGCAATTTGCCTTTGGGAGTTCCCAGCCTCGATTTTAATTGTGGAGGCCACAAACTGTTCGAAGACCGTCCAGATGCGACTCAGGTACACGGGTCGGTCCCATGTATCCAAAATGGCCACCATTTTGCCTATTCGCTTCAAGTTGTCTTCGAAAACCGCTTCGAGATTGTCGCTGCCCGCGGCAGTCTGCTCCAAAAGGATACGGAATTGGTTGTTGACGAAGAAGCAAACGTAGAAATAGCAAGGCCCCACCAAACCGTCTCCAAACATCTGCAACGCGCTTTGCACCTGCAGCAATCAATCCTCTTTCTTGAGTGGGCGAATGTTTGAATGTGCATGTGTGTGCTTTAGAAACTCTGAGGTTTGACCAAAAAACAAACAGCGAAATGGAAGAAATGTCAACCACCAACCAACCCGGATGCAAGTTGGCGTCAGGATAAATCATTGCTGTCATGAACCAGAAATGACAAGCAATGCACTTACCTTTGTTGCAGTGCATCCCCAACACTTTGTCAAGTTTCTCAATTGCCCGGAGAAAGTCTTGGCAATATTGTCTTTCATTACTTGCACAACATCCACAATCTTTGATTGTTTCTGTCACACCAATTTTCTATGTATTTTTTGAACATTTTTTCAGCCATATTTCACCCTCTACCATCCCTTGGGATGAGTTGGATACAGTATCTTTTCTCGCAGTTTCGCAATACTTGCCTGTGACCATTTGGCCACTGCGTTTCATCTGACCAAACATCCATTTCAATGGCACTTGCAGCATGATTGGAACCATCATGTCTTTTGTCCAAAACATTCCATGGGTGGTCAAAGGGTGTGGAACCACAGCGTCAATTGCAGTTTTTGGCGCTTCCTTTTCTGCATGGCGCAGTACATATCTGCAACATATCTTTGCAGGAACCATGCTAGCACGCGTCTTTTCACCCAAATAGGTATTCATACAGTATTTGCATTGCAGTCCCGCAATGTTTTTGCACTCCCCTCATCGACTCTAGTGCAATTGTACTTTCAGCAAGCCCGGGTTGATGATCTGAAAATGCCAAGAAAAAAATTATTTACAGTATTCAAATGTTCGCTCCATACCTGACTTGCTTTAGACTGTGCAGTCTGTAGACCCCACGGCCCACATCCAACATTCCACTCTGTATGTATCTAGTATATTTATGTCGTGGACTATACATACTTTACAAGCAAGAATGTAGAGGAACAAAAAGTTGACAAACACCAAAAGAGAAACAAAAAACATAGAAGTTCGAAGCAGTCAGATGCAGAAAAGCAACAAAGCGAGGAAACAACCTGGGGTGAATCAAGAAGATGGTCCTCCCTTGCGCCAAAATGGGCCTCGACAAGACCTTTCTCATCACTTTTGTGCTACAACAATATCTTCTTCAGACAGTAGACACATCTCTGACTCAGCCATGGAAACTGGCTCGTAAGAACCTGCTTACAACAGTTCAAGCCCATTCCAAGACGCCTGCTGCAGGGTGTATTTCCATGTCCAACTCATAAAGTGAGTTTGTTGTCTGCGATGCTCCCGTGGGATCCAGTCCACCAAAGCGCATCCTGCCTTCCAAGGTTTCGGATTGTGCTCCCAACGAAGCCAAGAATTTTCAGCGGTAAAGTGTTATTGGGTATATCTAACAACCCATGCGTTTACTGAATAATTAGTCAACCCAATTACCCAAATAGTTCATCTTGAGTTGTTGGGTAATTGCCAATTGCTGTTCATAGTTGGTTTTAGCTCATCTTATTTGGCCTTGATTCCTCTTGATTGGTGGAAACATGTGGAATCCTTGCCTCCCCATCCCGCGGGCAGATGATGTCTCGGCCAATTGGTTGCTCCGACAACCAGAATGCCGTTTTGAGGTCCTAAGAATGTGATGCACTCCGAAAGCTTGTGGCTTTAGCATGATGTTGAAACCAAGCCAGATGGGCCAAACGCTAGAGAAACAGTCAAGTTGCCATGAATGTTGGTTCATCTTTGCCGCTGCGATCTGCAGCCAGCTGCGTAAACTCTCCTGAAAGGAGATATGCTATGCTCACCTGAGATTGCACAAAAAAATACATTTGGATCAAGTGCTGGTTGCACCTTTGCATTTTCAGACTTGAGAACGTGTCGTTTGATTCAACAACTGCTCACTCGCTGCCCAGGAACGCCGGCCCTTTCGCTCTGTAGAGCGCGCATCTCGCAAAATCTCTGTTGTATTTGAGTTTTTTGCAGGCCAAGACTTGCCAACTTCTGGGTGTATGTGGCCAGCGTGGTCGGCCCTTCATCCTGATGTGGCAACTGCCCACAACGTGACACAGGTGCAGCCATAGAGTACCCGTTCAACCGTACTAATTTGGAAAGATCCGATAAAAGCCGTTGCCAACTACCGGGGTTTGGAACTCCTTGTGTCAACATTTCAACATGTGAAACACCTGCGAGTCAACATCTCGCAACTGCTTAAAGCTGCTTGTGTCAACCTCATAATTTCACCCATGGACACCCCTCATCTTAGCTGAATTGTCCCGGCAAGAGACCCCAAACAGTGTGGGAGAGTGGGAGGATGATGTATGATAATGTTGATGATGATGGTGATGATGATGATGATGAGGAGGAGGAGGATGATAATGCTGCGGACGATGATGTAGAGGATAATGATGTTGAGGATGATGTGCAGGAGAATGACGTTGAGGATGATGAGGTGCAGGAGGTGATGATGATGTTGAGGATGACGTTGTTGAGGAGGATGAGGATGAGGATGATAATGGGGAAGAGGAAGTGGAGGATGATTAGGTGGAGGATCATGATGTTGAGAAGGAGGATGATGATAATGTTGAAGAGGCTGATGAAAAGGATGACAATGTTGATGTTGCGGAAGATGAGGATGATAAGGTCAAGGGGGAGGAAGATGATGATGTTGAGGAGGAGGAGGATGTTTGGCACGATGATGTTGAGGAGGAGGTCCGATCCCAAGACCGGGGACCACACTGGGTGTGAGCCTGCGCAGTCGAAATGCACTTCAACATGTCACAAGAGCTATTTAAATTTTATAAATTTACAGGAAAAATGCCAGGCAACAAGACCTAGGACCCCACTTTGTGCGAGCCTGCGCAGTCGAAATGCACGTCAACATGTCACAATACCCATTTCAAACGGAAATTTTACAGCTGGAACACCCTGATCAAGCACCGGCCTTCACTCCTACCGTAAGAACCCCTCAGGGTGGACACACTGTTTGGGGGGAAAAAAACAGGCAGGCTCGAAGGCTTGACCGGTGAGGTCTTCAAGTTAGATCTTGGCTGGGACAACTTGTGGCCTCCAACTGTATCCAGTCCAAGCATCCCACAACTCGTCATAGACTTCCTTCATGACACAGGCGATTTTCTTTTCTCGTCTGGAACGGAGACACCGTAACAGTAGATGAACAGCAACTGCCAAAGGGAGCAAAGTGATCGCCACAACGGGCAGGTGCCACCAGACCTCAGGAGGGAAATCTCAGGCAGCGGGGGCAGCGTGTTGGGAGGCAAACTCATTTGCAAACATCATCAAACTAGTTTTCTATCCAATATCTAAATATGTAAATCTTGTGCAATGTGCTGCATATATCTTTGTTTGTGCTCGTCCCTTTGTAAATTAAATTTCTTATTCAAACAAACGTAAAACTCAAAACGCCACGCAAATCGCTCGAAGGTCGGACATGTATTTAATATTTCTTTTTGTCTTTGCTTATCTTAATTGAGTCGGGGGTGAAACCGCACAAACACAAGTCAAGTGTCTGGTAACTGTTTCAGGTCAACAAGTCATGTCGCCTGTCACCCCCCCACAAGATAAGGGAGGGAAAACGAAGTTTGGGAGGGGATAGAAAAATCGAACGGGTCAAGTGCAACCCACCCTCCACACCCTAGCCAAAATTGCGCGGAACATAAAATCAAAATGTTCGCAACAGAGCAAAAGGTGAGAAGACTGACATCAATCTGATCTAAATAAAAAGTGAGAAGTAAAGATCATCCTTCAAACAACAGTGACAGATGTAAATGTCACAACATGATAATAAACAGAAGTTGTTTGGAAACTTCAGTTGGTTTCCAGCATTCAGCCAGGAGCATCTGCCGCCGCACAAGTGCGGAATGGAAAAGGCGTCCAACTACGGAAGTTTCAGCAGATTTCACCGCACTTCCACACATCTTAAAATAGCTTGAACAATTTGAACATGTTTAACATCTTCAACTCTTCACAGGAGGATCAGCTATATTTGCTTGACTCTGAAAGCTGAGCTGAAAACACCGCCAGGCTCACCAACACCGTCAGTTGGTTTTCAGTTCATCAGATTTTTCTTTTTTGTTACAGGCGGTACGTTCGCAAGCTCGCTACTCCCAACAAACAAAGGCCACAACAAGTTGAAGCCAAACGTTTGTGCTCGTCCCTTTGTAAATTAAATTTCTTATTCAAACAAACGTAAAACTCAAAACGCCACGCAAATCGCTCGAAGGTCGGACATGTATTTAATATTTCTTTTTGTCTTTGCTTATCTTAATTGAGTCGGGGGTGAAACCGCACAAACACAAGTCAAGTGTCTGGTAACTGTTTCAGGTCAACAAGTCATGTCGCCTGTCCCCCCGTTTTTTTTTCGACATGTAAAGAGCTTCACTTTCTTGTAACTTCCAAGAGCATTGTTTCAGGCAAGCATATATCGCCTGCAAGGTTTCCTCCCGAGATTGCCTGGCATTCTTTCAGTTTGGAGCGTGACGGCAGGTCAGCAATGTTTGACTCCGAAGCCACCCTTTCATACCATGAAGCGGAAGGAAATTCTGCTTCTACTAAGGACACTGCACGACAGATGTTGTACATGGACAGTGAAGGGCTGGATCCTTTGATCAAGCAAAAACGTGCAGCCTCGTTGTCAACGAAGTACAGTGCTGAAGAATTGGAAAGTTCATTGCGGTAAAAATACCTCACAAGCAAAACTGCAACCAACTCAATTTGACAAATTTTCTGCTGAAGTCCAATAGATGTCCAGTGCTCCATCAGGACTGGTGGGATGGTTCCCCAGTGAATTGCATTAATGCCAAGTTGAGGGATTATGACAACTGCACCCCAGGTTCCATTCCCATTCTCGTACGCACCGTCCGTGTAAATCACTGCCGGACGATCGCTGCTCAGGAAGCGAATTTCTCGTGGTCGCATTCGGTTAATGATCCTGCATGTATCATTGCACAAGCGCGATATGAGCTCTGTATCTGATGAACCTGACTGCAAACTTGCAAACTGTCTGGCGGCAGGCTTCAAACAACGTCCAACCACAAAGCCACCAGCATAATTCAGCAATCCATGCATAGTCGCCGCCTCGGGTGCAGACACAGTACCCTTGGCAGCGTATGATTCAAGCATCTCCAAAATCCTCTGTATCCGACTTGGGCGGTTCGCCACTGTCACTTGTTTGTTCCAAAAGTTCTGCAAGTGGAATGCTACTCCCAACACCTGCATGGTGTCAGAAAAATCAACACTCTTTTTACCAGTCGTAGCATGCTTCCACCCAAGCAAATCCAAAAGGTGCTGCACCACGTTCGTAGTTGTTGCCGCCAAAGGTTCAAACTCAATAACAGGAAAATCATCATAAAATACAGTGGTAAGGAGGTGAAATTTTCGAACCATCAAAGTCCAGATACCGCGCGTGATCTTGTTGAATGCAAAAACGCTGGACGTGGCTCCAAAAGGCAGTGACTTCGATATAAAGAACTTCCATTCGCCAGATTCACTTCGCACTCCCAAAACGCTATGTCTAGCAGACTGAGGAGCAACACTGACCTGCTTGTACGCCTTGCTCAAGTCGATGCCCCTGCCCAGCAGCAAAGGCTTTCGGTCGTAGTCAGGGTGCCTTCGACCAGTGAGGTGGTCACCTGAAGAAAGTTCGATGTCGATATGTGGATCTCCGCAGAAAACACCCAAAGCAAACGCAAGAAAGCAACTGATTACGTCGGTGTCGTGCAGGTCAAGGTGCGACGATGTTCCAAAGGCCGCATTCACTCCCGACGTTTTGTAGTTGTCAATCACTCTAGGTTTAAGGTCTTCACCTTGCAAAAGAAGGAACCGTTGGGACATTGACCAGTCCGCACGCCCAAGCCTTTCTGTTATATCAGACTCCAAAAAGGGACCATCCAGAAAACCAGCAGATACCTCTTTCATAGTTTCTTCCATAAGCAGTTTTGCAAGCCCACGTTCTTCGTCAGTAAAGGCTTTGCCCATAAGGGCTTTTCGTCGCCACAAAGCACTGTGGTCCAACTGTTCGCTTGTCATTGTAGGTGGAGCCCATCGTTGTTTGTACAAAGCGCTTTCGTCTTCCCAGCCAGTCAGGGGAACTCCTTCGCGCATATAGCGCACAACCTCCATGTCTTCGAACCCAACCTGGGTCAGCAGTTTTTCCCAAAGTTCAATGCGTTTTGCCTTGGTCACCTCCGCCACGTTCTTGTCCATTTTGACTTTCGCCAGTTTCTCCGCAAGAGCCAGTCGCTTTGCAATTTCAACACATTCTCCCAGCTTGCTGATGCGGAACAGGGCAACATCTGCCATCGAGTGTGTTGCCACAAAGAAAATAGCTTTCTTCAAATCATCTGGTACACCCTTGTGCGTAAATGCAGGGTGCTGCAATTCTAAAGAACGCTTGAGGTGATCATGATGGTTGAAATAAATGCCAACCTTGTAGCTTTCAGCTGACCTCTCGCTGTCGTCTCCCCCGTGTCCCAAGCGAGCCAAAATTTTGTGTGGCAGTTGAGGGAGTACCGTAGTGACAATAATTTGGGAAAATTCAGGGATCAATTGGTCATGACCTTTGGCTTGAATGGATTGGGCCATTAAAGATTGCAGTCGAAAAAATTTTGAGTTATACTCCAGTGCATTAGCAGCGACCATTGTACTTGCACATTCAGCATATCGATCACAGAACATTGAAGGATATTGAGCTTCCGCTGCAGTAGAAAAAATCCACTTATCAAATCCACTGACAATTGTCCATGGCTCATGGTTGTGGGACTTGTCGCACATAATCCCCAGTGGCTCAAACTGTCGGGTCGACACCAGCAACTTGGTTGACTTGGCACGGTTTCCTCCGTGCATGCAAAAATCAAATTCCACGGGGTGAAAACAAAAATACCACTCAGCAAATTCAGGGCACTTGTGTTCGCGTGCATATTGCTTGACCAGTGTTGCAAGTACTGTCCATAACCACGATCGTAAAGGATTTTCCAGTGTAATGAATGCTCCAACACGAAAAAGTGCATGCAACAAGCGCACAGCATGTCTATAAACAGTATTTGCAGCGTCAACTCTCTGCTGGTTCAGAGTGCTCAAATTTGGCAGGCCAAGTGGATGCAACGCGTCACGGAGTGGCGCAGGTTGAGGTGCTCCTTGAGAGCGTAATGCATGTGCAACCGGCACTTCTCGTGCTCGGCTGCAAGTTCCACACATAAGCCCAAAATGGGCTCCTACCGGCTTCATCTGTTCGATCATGCCTTCAAGGAGTGAAATATTCTCATGCAATGACAAATCCAACTCAAAAATGTGCATCTTGTTTTTGAAACGATTTGCATGATAGTCAATCGGAAAAACTTGCCAGCCCATGCGTTGCATTGATGCAGAGAGCGCAGCTGAGCCCGCACAGATTTCCAAAAAGACTATTGGTTTGTCTGCATGAGGGTGAGAAATTGTATTGTCTTGTTTCGGCTCACCAAGTCAGTGCTTACACTCAATGTAAGGTCGCTTCTCTGTGCAACCCTTGTAGTAACATTGGTGAAGCCCCAAATGACAACGTGCTTTCTTCTGATGTTTGCAAATCCCTCTGTTGTAGAAAACACACAGCCATTGACCGTTCGGCAGCTTGCTGGCGCAGCCGTCTGGCATGTTGGTGAGCATCTCTTTGATAGTGGGCCCAGAGCTGGGACCTGACGCAGCACCTTTCGACTGAAATTTGTTCTTCCCTTTGCCTTTGCCGGATCCACTGCTCTGTTCCGCTCGACTGTATGGCTCGGAACGATGTCCTGAAGGCGCTTCAGCGCGCACTGATGGCAATGGAGTCATGAAGCAAAGAACTTCAGGAGACCTCATGTAATTTTTCAATTGCTCATCCAAAGGTGGTTTCTCACCTATGCCAGAAATCAACTTGCCACGGGTTTGCTGTGAGATGTGCATCCACAGTTGCTTGTCAGCACTCAAGATCTGCTGTGTCGTGACATACTTGTGTCCAGCTGGAGGCGGCCGCAACAACGCAGCAAACATCTGTTGATTCCACTCTTCAATCAAATCAAAGGTCACCAAATTGGTCTGATGCATGGCCAAAGATCGGCGTGTAAATGCCGCACGTAGTCTAAGCTCGCCCGAAACATCACATTGCAAGTCCTGAGCCTTCTTGGTGACTTTGAGACCTCCAGCATGGTCAATGCTCAGCGCTGACTCTTTCTTTTCCTTGGTAATTTCTTCTTCTCGTGACATGCACTTCTCAGGTCCTACATAAAGCAAGCAACCATCCTCGATCATGTTTTGAAACTTGTCAACCAATCCATGACTTGGTTCGACTGACGCGTCGATGATCAGGCCTTTCAATTCCTTTTTCTGTTTGTCAATCCTAGCAAGTCTCTCTGCAAGTGGCATTTTCCTAGGCTGGTCAGCCTCAGTTCTTTCTGTTCTGCTACGTATGTCAGAGAGCACCATGGCATGCGCTTCAAACCACAGCCTACGAAGTGGAATCATTTCAGCTGGGGCAACCTCGACCAAAATCAAATCTTGGACTGCTTTCTTGAACTTCTCTTCAGTGTTTGAAGTTGGCGTTGCATCACTTGAAAAAGCAAGGCTCCCAAACGTGTCCAACCCAGCTCCCTTGAGCTTCTCTAGCAGGTCCTCTTGCATCCCTACTTCCAGCGCACGTGAGCTGAAAGCATGTTTCGAATCAAGTCCGGACATGGCTGCACTTTCGACCAGCCGTCGCTGAGTGATACAGTTTTATTGTTATCTTGCAAAAGATTGTCAAGTCAAGAGCGAAACGTCCACTAAAGTGAGTTATTGATTTGAAAATCAACGCATGAAAAACAGTGTTCAACAAGATCGAAATTGAAACGCAATGTTTCTTCATAAGTTGAACCACAGTCGTGAACCTTCAAACATGTGTCATTGATGCAATGAAATTCACACTGCAAGAAAACATACATTCATGAAGCTGTTCACTGTTTTTCAAAGGCTCCGACAGTTGTGCATCGGATCATTGGTGCGCAAGTCATGCGCTGACTCTGAGCAATTCACGCATCAGGTCGATGAAATTCAATTTCATGTTGTGCAAGTCACCACAAAGGAATTCAATTCACTCATTCCCTGTGTTGTCAGCTAAATTCATGCTGCAACAAATTGAAGTCAAGTCAAGCTGGGTAATGCAACAGCGAGATTCAAAAATCATACCAGCCAATGCATTGCCAGTAAGCAAGATTCGACATGTTTGCTGAACAGATTCCCGCCTTGTTTGTCTCTCGCCCGCCCCAACTCACGCTTCTGTTGCACTAAGCACTCACTATCAAGAATGCTGTGCACACTGAGCACAAAATGGAAATTCACATGCCATTTCAAAATCAAAAGAAGGCTTCTTGTAGTTCGCAGAAACTTTTCGTGAACATGCCAAATTTTCACAGTCCACTGCTACATGCAAAACTCCTGACAAAACATGCTGCAAACATGACTTGAAAATTTCTTCAGTCAACGGTCCATTGTGCACAGGTTTCTTTGCTTGAGGCACTGGCAGAGTTTCGCTTGCACCCAGCTCAATGGGGTCAACTGACTCGTCAGAATAGTTCTCAATATCGACATGTTCTGCATCTTGCAAAGTCTGTGCAGCAATCCGAGCAGCCCGAGTTGCATCAGGGTCAAAGTAACCCTTTCGAATGGAGTCCAGAATGCGCCACAACTTGGTTTGAATCTCGGCAAGCGCATCTCTCGAGTATATCAATGGCATTGCTAACCTGGAGTCAAAATGGTGCCCCATGATACGCCTCTCATCAATTGACATGGCTCCAGATGTTGCCGCCCAAGACAGTGCAGTAGCCTTCAAGGTGTGTGTGCTGTATGAAGCCGCCTGAGCCTCACTCATACCAGAGTTGCACAGCAGCTCACGTAGAAAGTATACACCTTCACCAGATGTCATTGGACGATTCAACCATTGTGATGTTTCTTCATTCCAGGCCGGCATCAAAAATTTGAAATGATCCATCTTTTGTCGCTTCCGGGCACGAATCCATGTCCATGCCCAAGAGTCCTTTTCGTAAAGCCCATTGCCCAGGGCCAGCATAGGAAGGGCAACATTCCTAGCTTCCTTGCCAGCCGTATGCGCTGTCTTGAATTTCATGCTTGACGTCTCCAGCAGTGATATGTGACCACTCATGTCCAAATGCACGGTCTCCGCACGAGCTGCGTCAGCAAATCTTGCAGATGCCAGCAAACAAAAAATCATGAATCCTCCAATGCATGCCTCCACATCGTTGCACTCACAGACATGTTTCTCCAAAGCGTACAACGCATCAGCAGTAAGTGGTGGAGCTTGCTTCAACTCCCTTTTGCCTGAAAGCATAGTCCTGCTAACTCCGTTCACTCTGCCAGAAAAAATTGAGCAACATCCACCCTCGCAAAGCCAATGTGATGTTCGAAAAATCCAATTGCTTTGATAAATGACTGCAGAGATGTTGCAGAGGCTCCGGACAGTTGCAAGTGCTTGGCATAGTCGTACACCACAGTCTCTGAAATGTTCATGGGATAGCAACGTCCCCCATCAACTGCCCATCGTGCAAAACGGTGATAGTCTGCAACCCTTTTAGATACTGTGCCAGGCGCCTTGCCAGCAACAGCATCAATAAAGGAAGTTGAAATTTTCGACTCTGGTACCAGCTTTCCTGAAAAATCCAGAAGTGCTCTGCCCAGTCTTGAATCCAAAGGTTGAAAAAGAACTATCTCTTTGAGTTGCCGCATTGCACAATCAACCAGCTGATCATCTGTTTTGGCAAATGCCGTTGCCAACAGTCTTTTGCGTTTGAAATCTGAGACTCCTTGCACCGGTTCCTCATGCGAGCTCACTGCACTATGCACAACGCCCTGAACAGATTCAAACCGCCCATACATAGGCAGCTGTGGTTGCCTCCAAATGCTGTCCAGTGAAAATACATTGTCAAAATCCATTCTATTCAAAAAAGAACTTGGCAGTGAAGAAGACCCAGCCACATGTTGAATCACAAGGTTGTCAATGGTTCGACTGACATCCATGTCAACTGTTTCAGCCAAGTTCCTATCAGCCCGTGCCTTGGCTGTGGGCACCATGAAGCGTCCAGTCTGGTTTTCAACGTCATCTGGTCTGACCAAACTTGCAGCGAGTGAATATTCTTCCTCAATTTGCTGCTCTGCAAATTCCTTTTCCTCGTATCCAAACAAAGGACTGAAATGTGAATCTTGTCCAAAATCATGATCATTCAAAGCATCTGGAAGTTGTACGTGTTCCCAGTCCATGTCGCTCTGGCCTCCATTGTCCCCTTGCGAAACAGGCCACTGCGCAGCACCAGCTGCATCTGGTAAATCGCCCAAACTGTGTGAATCACGCACAAGTACCATGAAAACAAAACACTTGCAAATCCAGGCAGTGTTCAAATGAAAACTGAAAGTTCTGTCAGAGAATGCACGTCCCGTAAAATCAAGATCTTCCAAAATTCTGTCAGGCATCCATGGCGATATGGAAAAATCGGATAGAAAAATCGAACGGGTCAAGTGCAACCCACCCTCCACACCCTAGCCAAAATTGCGCGGAACATAAAATCAAAATGTTCGCAACAGAGCAAAAGGTGAGAAGACTGACATCAATCTGATCTAAATAAAAAGTGAGAAGTAAAGATCATCCTTCAAACAACAGTGACAGATGTAAATGTCACAACATGATAATAAACAGAAGTTGTTTGGAAACTTCAGTTGGTTTCCAGCATTCAGCCAGGAGCATCTGCCGCCGCACAAGTGCGGAATGGAAAAGGCGTCCAACTACGGAAGTTTCAGCAGATTTCACCGCACTTCCACACATCTTAAAATAGCTTGAACAATTTGAACATGTTTAACATCTTCAACTCTTCACAGGAGGATCAGCTATATTTGCTTGACTCTGAAAGCTGAGCTGAAAACACCGCCAGGCTCACCAACACCGTCAGTTGGTTTTCAGTTCATCAGTTTTTTCTTTTTTTGTTACAGGCGGTACGTTCGCAAGCTCACTACTCCCAACAAGCAAAGGCCACAACAAGTTGAAGCCAAACATATATACATACTTAGTACCGACTTCACTCGCTGCATAGAGCAAATCGTTTGTAGGGCAAGCCCGCTTGGTGTTGTTGCCCAGAAGCACATTTGTTGTCCACCAAGGCTAATGGCAAGTCGCATGCCAAACAGCTGTCCGCTCCACTGACAGAGTACTGGAGCACCGGGCAGTCTTCACACGTGTCCCGGTGTTCCGACGGTACCGAACCTGCAGGCACGTGAAGACCATGTGACGTGGCTGGTAAATTTCCCTTCCTTGGACATCATGTCTCATGGCAAAAAACAGAACATTGGTATGACAAGGGCATGGATTTCGCCAAAAAGGAGGTTCCCTGCATCCAATGATCTACCCTCATTTGGCTTATTAAAATTGCACAAACAATGGTAAAGTCCCACGTTGACCCAAAAGCTCAGCTTTCCACCTGGCGGGCATCCTTGACAGGAATCGCCGGTGGAGTATTGCCCCACTCCACACCGCTCGCACATGAGGGCGTTTTGGCCGGGAGCTCTGCCCGGCTGGCAGGGTGGGAGGAGCGCGTGGTGCATCAGATCGTGACCTCGGCTGCAAAGCGGATGCGGTGTTAAGTTTCAACAGTTCTGAGCCGTGACCCTCCAAACCGCAGTACTGGTAGCAACATATCCAACTAGCTTGGCAACTTCCTCACTCACTAGCGTCAAAAAGCTTGCAGCATTAAGCTAGTCAGGCAGCGTTTCAGGGAGGATGTTTTCCATGAACCAATCGGCTGGGCAAAAGCCTTGGCACCCCAGAACATGCTCTCCATGGTGGTCACTGCAGAGGTGTTCCAGGAACTGAGGGGCTGGTTGAAGGCCTTTGCATCATAGAACATAAATTGCATGCTGGTTGTAGTTTTGAAAGTGCACCCAACCTGGCGAGCCAAGAAGGCATTGGATTAAGGGGCACCCCACGCAAAGCGTGGAAAAAGCCGGCTGGCTGTGTTTCTTGTGATGAAGACCGGTAAGGTCACGGGCGGGTGCCCGTCGTGTGTTGCGGCTGCAGCCGCAGTGTCAATGCTGTGTTTAGCAGCTGCTGCTGCTACGAGAGTGCTGGTCCCAGTGAACTGGGTGTGATGGGGCAGAGCCCACATCGGTACGTTGTATTTTGCAAAGTGATGTATGGCTTGCGCCAATTGGAGCTGGTCTGTGCCAGTGTTCCGGTGTGGTAGCCGGCGGTTTGCCAGTCTGGTGGCTGGCTGTGCCCAGTCCAGGGTCCCGGCACCACAGAATGGTGGCCACGGTGTTAGCGTGACACTGGGCGGTGCATTAACGTAGCCACCTTCCGTTTTACCGGCGCTGCCCCGGTCATCTCTGACGCTCACCACTGCGTGTTAGGCAGTGGAGCGGGGTAAGTGGCCTGTTGTGGGGGGGAATTTGTAACCAGGTCAATTCCCGCGCGGTCACCCGCGCCCCCCCCCCGAGGGTAAATTGCATGCTGGTCACTGCAGAGGTGTCCCAGGAACCGACTGGGTGGTTGAAGTCTTCCGCCGATTCGAACATGCCCTTCATGGTGGTCACTGCAGACGTGTTCCAGGAACTGAGGGGCTGGTTGAAGGCCAGGGCGAAAGCAAACATGCTGTCCATGGTGGTTGTAGTTTTGAAAGTGCACCCAACCTGGCGAGCCAAGAAGGCATTGGATTAAGGGGCACCCCACGCAAAGCGTGGAAAAAGCCGGCTGGCTGTGTTTCTTGTGATGAAGACCGGTAAGGTCACGGGCGGGTGCCCGTCGTGTGTTGCGGCTGCAGCCGCAGTGTCAATGCTGTGTTTAGCAGCTGCTGCTGCTACGAGAGTGCTGGTCCCAGTGAACTGGGTGTGATGGGGCAGAGCCCACATCGGTACGTTGTATTTTGCAAAGTGATGTATGGCTTGCGCCAATTGGAGCTGGTCTGTGCCAGTGTTCCGGTGTGGTAGCCGGCGGTTTGCCAGTCTGGTGGCTGGCTGTGCCCAGTCCAGGGTCCCGGCACCACAGAATGGTGGCCACGGTGTTAGCGTGACACTGGGCGGTGCATTAACGTAGCCACCTTCCGTTTTACCGGCGCTGCCCCGGTCATCTCTGACGCTCACCACTGCGTGTTAGGCAGTGGAGCGGGGTAAGTGGCCTGTTGTGGGGGGGAATTTGTAACCAGGTCAATTCCCGCGCGGTCACCCGCGCCCCCCCCCCGAGGGTGCTGTCCATGGTGGTCACTGCAGACGTGTTCCAGGAACCGATTGGCTGGTTGAAGGCCAGGGCGAAAGCAAACATGCTGTCCATGGTGGTCACTGCAGAGGTGTCCCAGGAACCGACTGGGTGGTTGAAGTCTTCCGCCGATTCGAACATGCCCTTCATGGTGGTCACTGCAGACGTGTTCCAGGAATTGATTGGCTGGTTGAAGGCCTTGGCTCCTGCGAACATACTTTCCATGTTGGTCACTGCAGAAGTGTCCCAGGAATCGATTTGTTGGTTGAAGGCCCCGGCGAAGTAGAACATGCTCTCCATGGTGGTCACTGCAGACGTGTTCCAGGAATCAAGTGGCTGGTTGAAGGCCGTGGCGTAGGAGAACATGCTCTGCATGGTGGTTTGTGGTTTCTGGCGACAACCTGGCACGGCCAAATTGGCCCGGGGTTAAGCCGCCCACACCCGGACCCTCTACACCACAGGAAGAGCAGTCACGCCCTCCCCACGAGCAATGTGAGGATCCAAATTGTTCTGGCCCATGTCAAAAGGCTCGGGACGGGAGTAGTTGCGTCCGGCTTGGACTTTGCACAATTGCTCCCGGATATGCGCGCATTGTTTCACACGAACAAGGTCGACCCCTTCAGGACCCCAGCCTAATCTGTTAACCAAAGGACATCTGCTGGGAGGGACACGTCTCAGGTGGTCCCAGTGGCTACACTGCCAAAGCACATGGAAAGTGTCAGGACACTGATGTTTCTTACATTCATGGCAAAACATAGGTGGTGACGACGCTTTCGCGTCAGTTTTCAAAGCACCAGACATGATTCCAATCTCATGCGCGGACAGATGTGTGGCCGCCCGGTGAAGCTTAGTGATTAGGTTATCAGAAATAGCCAAATTGTTTGCCCGGGCCAGCTTGGCATCATTGCGGTCAGATGCCAGCCACCCTTTGACCTCACGTGCACGCCAAAACTGCCGAAAACAATGTGCCATGCGAGGTGCGAAATCAGGTGGGGATGCGGAGTCCCACCACCCCCCACTCCAGGACCAGCGGCCCCAGCTGTCGCACTGAAGGTCCAGCTTGGAGAGAGCACCGTTCAAAGCCGAAATCACATTACTAGGCTTGTGGGACCAATTCCCCGGATGGTGGTGACGCCACTTAGTGAGGGCGTTCAAAAGACGCTGGCAAGAAAGGTAAAGGAGGTCAGATGAGTGCCCAAGCAACAAGACTTTTTCCAAATGCCTGGAAGCAATGCCATCCAAAAATTTTCCTTTAACTGCAAGACGATAATCCTCAGTGTGCGCCTTGCATTCCCCCTTGGTAGGAGTTCTTCCATTAAGTAAAAGCCCCCAGACCCTCTTGGAAGCAAGAGTAAGGGCCGCGAGGCCGGCCCGGAAGTTTTGGGATACCGGCAAAACACTAATACGCTGTGCAATCGTTGTGCATTTTTTGGCACGGGACAGTTCAGCATTGGATTGAGCTCTGGGCGCGATGCCAATGGTGACACCCAGCACTTCAGCCGTGGCAGTCGGCGACAGATTAGCCGCCTGCAACGCCAGATACCCCTTCCAATTTCGCCCCAGCACTTGGGTTTTGCTGGAATTAGTGCGGAGTCGAGTGTGGGCATGGAGCACATTCCAAGCATTAAGAGCTGCGGCCAGGATGCCGGGAGTGGGAGCAACAAGCGTGCGATCATCGAGGTACAGCAAGCATCTGGACTCTGGAACCAACCTCTCTTGGTGCCGCTTCGCAAGCATGAGAACCAGTGACATTGCTATGGGAGACCAGGGATCTCCTTGGGGTAATGCCAAACAATTTTGGATAGGGAGCCGCGCACACACCCCTGCAAAAGACATCCAACGTTACTGTCGCCGCCATTGTGCTCCCAAAAGATTGACCACACGGGCAGGAAGGCCAAGCCGGGACATGACGGCCAGAGCCAAAGTGTAATCGCAAGAGTCAAATGCCTTGGTAAAATCTAGTGCCATGAGGCACGGAAATTTTGTGGGATCAAGATCGATGTCCAAAGTCAATAGAAGGGAGGAGACGTCCTCTCCGCCGATGCCCCCCGACTGGTTCCGATCCAGATATTGAGCTAGAATGGGAGCCAGATGGCCCAATCTGATTCTGCCCCAAATACGATAGATGGCTGAGCCGATTGCGATTGGTCTGACTTCACCCAATGAAGGCAAAGTGCCATGCCTTTTCTTGGCAGGGCTGCGATCTTCCAGTAACAAGTGGCTTCCGGCCATGCCCCCTGTTGCTCAAAGGCATCCATCATCTCTGCAAGCCGCCTATGTGCCTCGCACGGCAGCAATGCTAACCAGGAAGGGCAAATTCCATCCAAGCCAGCTGCTTTTCTGTGCATTTGGCGAGCTGCCCTGAGCGTGTCCTCTCCTGTGATGGGCGGAAGATTAGGTGTGGGTAATGGATCAGGGAAGTCATCCTGATAAGCCGAAAGGAGAGCGTCAACATCTGCAGCGAATTCCTGAAAACCAAAAACGTTTGTCCAAAAAGCTTTAAGTTTTTCGACAATTTTAGGGGGGGAGGTCAAAATACTATGATCAACATCTTTGAAAGCCAGTGGAGCAGCTTCTTCCTTCCTGAGCCACTGACAAGCTTGTGGGAGATCGCGCATTCGGGCGCGCCATTTCTGAAGTGCATCGTTGCGGTGCGCATCTTGGAGTTGCCTGAGTCTCACGGTGGCCATTTGGTGGGCCAACCCCCAAGCATGTGCTCTCACAGCCTCCTGTTCAGATGCTGGACAATTTGTGCCAAGTAATTTATTATACAGCGTGTGTGGAATACGCATGCCTCTCCAAGCAAGAGTACGCGCTTCATGAAGCCTGCGAATGAATCTACGCAAATGTCTTTCCGTGATTGACTGAGTAGCACCCACGCGATGAGACCCTGTGCGGACCGTGGGGACGTCACCCACCTTTCTCTCAGGCTGGTGGCTATCGAGAAGGCCGGCCTGAACCAAATAATTTTCAATGTCAAAACACCACATGGCCCAAGCATGGTCGATGTTGAGCAGCGCTTGCGACCAATCACTTTCAGCGGCCGCCACCGATGACCACAAACTACTAGGATGTAAAACATCTTGCTGGGAACCACTTTTTTTCGGGTGTGCGAAAAACGCCACTGTGGCGCCTTACATTTTTGAAATGCGAGAGGGAAGGAGCTCTGTGCGATGGTGTGGTCTCCATCACCTGGAATTTCGGAGGCACTGGAGGCTTGAAGCCCTCCCGAAGACCAAATTGCATCAATTGGGTGAACACTCCGGTCATGTCGAGCAACAGAACACCTGGTGCCACCCATATTTTCAAGGATATCATGAGCAATTCCCTGTGACATGTTAGCATTGGCATCTAAGGCAAGGATCCAATCTTGCGAACCTAGGCGGCTAACAATCAGCGCAGCTTCATGCAAAATGGCAAAATCGGCATCACTGTGGTGCCGGTAAATACAGAGGACGTTGATGTCCCGTTGCCCCCCGTGCAGCACAGCGTGGATCAGCTGCCCTGACTCGGAGCTGATGCGGCTGACCTCAGTGAGCGCACATGATTCGTGGCAGAAGACAGCGACTCCGCCATTGGATTTAACTGGCTTTGGAACAATCAAAGCTTGCCACTGCTGACGCCTACAAATTTGCGAAACAGAGGGAATGCTGATGTGTGAAATGTTATGCTCCTGCATGTAAACAAGCTGGACCTTAGCATCTCTGGCATGTGTGAGCATGTCTGTGCCATGAGCTTGCCAAGAGCGAATATTTTGTGACCACGCGTGCAAATCAGATGGTCCTGGGTGTGATGCCTCACCAAGGCGCACGCCACGGAGGCCTTGTAAACGTTTTCTCTTGGTGGCACTGGCATCTCCGCTTCCTTCAGCTTTGACAGTTCTTTTACGACAATTCTGCCAAATTTTCTTCCTTTTTTCAAGGGAAGGAGACTTACCGACAAAACGAGGACAAACGCTGATGGACAGGGATGGCCTAGACACGTGCCTAGAGCAGGCTTTGCATTTATAAACTGGGACTTGCACCGACATGCCTCTGGTATTGATGTATATCCTAGAAAACTCATGTTGACATGGGACGTCGTGCGCCCCTTTCCATTTGAGCTGTTGGAAAAAACCATGGAATGTCTTCCACCTCGACTGGAAGGTGCTCCTGGCATTCAAAAATCTGGTCGGGTGTTCAAGCAAGTTGCCTGACGACATTTTGGTATTTTGAGTGGCATGAACCCTTTCAAGGTGCCGTTTTTTTAAGCGCGATTTGGAAACACGCTGTGCCGTGCTCTGGATAGCAAAATCACACCAAGGACATTTCCACCAGACACCTCCCTGCGATTTGGGAAAGACAGGCAGGCTCCCTAACGGATCAGGTTTTGAAGCTTGGACAGCGATAGCTTCTCGCTCTCTATCTTGTCTCTGCAATCTGTTTGCTTCCGCCCTTTGTGCTCTCTGCTCTTTGACCGTGCACAGCTTTGCCGCTGCGGCTTGCTTGTTGGCTTTGGCCAAAATGGCCTTCCAAACAGCTCTGCGACCCTGCTTAGAGACATCGCGACTCTTACTAGGCATGTTGTTTGGGCAGCACGAATCTGTGGGATACGAAACTTTCTTGTTGCATTTGACGCAAACAAAAGGAAACCCTCCGGCGGAACCCAGGCTCCCAGGGTGCACATGTAATCCAGTGCCAGCCTGTTTTGCTTGGATGCTGGCGATGGCTTTGAACTTGGGCCCTAGGCGATCTCTGGTGTTTCGTTTGGCACGAGCAGTATCCCTAGCTTGCACAAGTGGCTCAGAATGTCGTCCTGCATGTTGGATGGCATCATGGGCAAGGGGAACCTCAACAGAAAAAACGGCATCACAATGAGTCTGTTGGTGAGCACAGCTGCTGGGAGCGGCATCGGTCCGCGCCACGGTAAGAGAAACTCTAGCGGATGAACTTCTGGCCACACTGCTGCGCCTCTTCGAAGCGTTGTGTCTCCGGTCAGGAGCATGCGACATGCAAGACTGCGAATGGACATCATGAGTCCCTGCCATCGGCTGATCAACACTGCTACCGACTTTGACCTTTCGAATGCTTTTCTGCACTGGGTGGGGTCTGCTAGATCGGCGCGAAATGGAACTAACAGGAGTTCGCCAGGTGTGGATGGAAGGAGTGGCACTAAGGCTTGGAAGACCACGGCCAGCCCCCGTCAGATCAATCATGAGAGGTTTGGAAGTTTTGAGCAACCACGGGCGAGGGAACTTTGTTTTTTGTGGGGCATGCACTGCTTCGAAATGCTTTTTGTTTAAGGTCAAAACAACCGGAGGCGCATTGCGTCTGCTCATTGCAACATCCTGCTTAAAGCCAGGTGCGAATGTGAATCTGTCCCATCTATCCTCCGATTGTTTGAAAATCACAATGACAAGTCCCAAGGTCTCAGCCAGGCACTGGATGCTAAGGCCATCTGCCCAGACTTCCTGTTTCATCTGCAGTTCACACCATTCACTGATGTTCGTTGCCTGCGGATTGCACCCCCTTTCAGCGGGGGTTTCTTTGGAATCTGGCGCAAACCAGCTAGAGAGCCTGCTACTATGCTTCTGGGCGTGCAAAACAGCTGACGCACGAAGCTCTGCCCTGCAGAGGGCAGCAGTTTCAGCAGTGATCAACTTATGATGCTTTTGCCAGTGTTGACAAGCAGCAATACTTCGATAAAAACAATCTCCATTGCCACCAACATCTTGACTTTCCCAGCCATTTTTGAAACATTCCGCGATGTCTGTTGGGATCAAATCTGGGTCATCTGCAACAGCCTGCCGCTGCTTGGAGCGAACTGGGCTCCGACTTCTTTCCCTACCAGCCTCTTTTTGTGAAGCTTGACTGGAGTCCTGATCCAGAGCAGTTGCCATGACGTCACCGGTATCGCCAGGATTGTTGGCTTCATTTCCAATTTTCCCCAGCTCATTTCCTCGCCATGTGTTTCTGACAGGTTGTTGCCAGGTTGGCTGGTGTTGTCTGACAGGAGCTGGGATGCATGACATGTAGCCTTCTGCCAAATCGTAATGGTAATTTTCCTGCATAGCTGAAGGTGGCTGGGCATGAAAACGCCATTCGTTTCGATATCTCACTTTGGAAATGCGTTGCACGGCTTTCCATTTCTGTTGATTGAGAAAATCTTCGATCTCTTCAGTCTGCCACATCTTTGGAGCCCCTCGGAGGAGGTAGTTGGCCGCTTGGCCCTCAGCTATTTCTGCTGCTGTTTTTTCCATGCCAATGGTGTGTGGTGTGCTGCTTTTTCGAAAAAAAAGGCCAACTTTCCTGAGCTTAGCTTCCTTGAGACATCTTTGCAAATAGGTCTCGGCATTTTCGTTGTTCTGTCGTTGAAACCAACGGATGGGCCTGGGTCCAGTATTGTTTTCTTGGATCTGGGCAAAAACACCCTGGCGACCGCTATTGACAACAAGCTCCTTAGCCTGTTCTGTTGGCAAAATCAGCCAGCCTGTGAGCAAGTCTTGTTGATGGACCTGCGTGTGATTCCATTTGCCACCCATGAGGTGAGAGGCTTTTATTTTTTCACTCCACTGGGCCATGGCAGCCGCCACCAATCTGGGTAGGTCTTGGCCTGAATCCAAGAAGTGCTTTCGGAATTCCAAAGGTGCAATGACTCTGACAGTGCTTCTTTGGACTGTTTTGATTTTCCCCTCATCAACTTTGACTGCGGGCAAGATCCACAATCCACTGTTGGTATCTCCTAAGCGCAGGAGAGCTATTTCTTCAATTTTCGGTGTGCCATGCGCCCTGGATATGCGAACACGGGTAGCCGTGGCCCCCAGGATGTCTTTGGCATCCTTGGTGAGCAGCATGGTCAAAGAGCCCTTGCACCCATAGCTATGCCAAAGGGTGCGCAGGTTCGCACACTGTTCTTTGGTGTAAACTTCGGTGATGTTGGCTTGCAAGGCTATTCCTGCTTTTATCTGAGAAATGATCTCATGCACGGATAGGAACTTTGGTTGGGCATTCCATTCGCTGGGCACAAAACCAGTGATATCTTGATGGCTGCAGCCTCGGTTGGGGTTGGTCTGTTTTCCCCAGCGATTGGCACCATGATTTGAAGCTTTCGCTCCACTCTGGGGCTTGCTGTATCTGACTTCCCTGACCGCAACTGGTTTCCCAAGGTCACGGCTGTGTCCTTGGTTGGTGTCAATCAGCCTGCTGGTGGCTGTGATCACTTCCTGGTCACTTGCTTGGTTTGCGCAAAGTTTCTGAAGAAGCTGTAGCAATTCGCGAGCAAGGCTGGTGTCAGGAGAGCTGTCAGCCCGGTATCCTTGCCATGAATTATTTGCTTGTTTCCTTCTTTTCCGCCACCCCCAAGTGTGGTCTTCAGGCGTATTTTGATTGCTAGGCTGCCACTGCTGGATCACATTTGTCAAAGCAGTAGCCAGGCTTTGTGGTGACTCATGCTGTGGATTGTTGCGCTTACGACGTGTGCGGGCTGAACCGCCCGCACCTCCCGCAAGGAGGCATCGCAACTCTGGTTTGGTCACATCCATAGACGCAGCGTCAGCACGACAAACGCTAGCAATGGAAAATATGCCATACTGATGGAAATCCAGGTTCAAACCATGAGACAGTTTGGAACAACTTCTACGGGTTTTACTACACCGGATGCGGTTTTGGTGGCCTCGGGCCCATGCTCTCAGTTTTGCTGCGCGAAACTTCGCGCTGGCCAATCTTTGGCGCATTTTAGCTTTGGTATGGCGTGCATTTCGCACCAGTCTCGCTGGAAGTGCCATGCGATACTTGGTGAATTTGATATTTTTGTTTGGCTTTCGAGTTTTGCACTTTTTTCTGTTGGTTTTGAGAGTTTTCTGCGTTCTCTTGAACGAATTGCGTGGTCTGCTCAGCCAGTCCCAAAAGAAAGCAAAGCAGTATAATATACACAGGAATGTCAGGTTAGTGAAAGGGTCTTCACCTATGATTGGCCAGTGTTCATGCATCAATGTCACTGCAACTTCACTGGGTGTAACACAACAACTGCAAAGATGCGAAAGCAACCATGCCATGCTGCATTGAAACTGAGAGAGCTTCGCACCTGCTAAGGCCCGCGACTGCCGTGGCAAACTACAAGAAGTAATTGGCCGGGAGGCGCTCTCTTTTTGATAGCCGCTGCTCTGCATGGTGGTCACTGCAGAAGTGTCCCAGGAACCGAGTGGCTGGTTGAAGGCCCTGGCACCTGAGAACATATGTGCCATGTCGACCACCGCAGAGGTGTTCCACGCTCGAATGTCTTCATTGAACCACAAGTTGTTCGCAAACAATCCTGTCATGTTAGTGACTTCTGACACGTCCCAGCTCTCAACCAGGCCATGTGTTGAGATCAATCGAGTTCTTTCCTCAGCAAAGCTGAAGGACATGTGTCAACATCTGCTCATGTAAACCAAAAAAAAGTGCAAAGGGGTACGAGTTCCAAAGGTTTGGAGGATTGTTGAGGCGACTTCACCCACCTTCCATGGCCCAACGGTTGCCTAGATTCGGCTTCGAACTGCCAGCCTCTGACAGCAGCCCGTAATTCACGTCGATTTTGGAAAGATCTGACTGCTGAGCAGCTTGGCATCATCAGCAACGGCAGCAGCGACCATGGCGGCATGTTTCTGTCTTTCGGAACCTGTCCAGCTGACTCTCAAAACGAATACCCTTTTGGATGGGACCCGCACCAGCCCTGAGGAAGAGTATCTTGGAGTAATGCAGTTTTCATGGTTTTGATGATATGGATTGCAAAGTTTTGTCTTTTGAGAGGAACAGGTGAGTGAATCAAAACAACCAACTCTTGTCAGTTTTTTTTATCCTGTTTTTTCTGCCTGACTGACACTGGTTGATGTGTACTACAATTAGTGACCGCCGGCCGAAGTGGCAGCGAGATATCGGACTACGAAGGACTTGCATTGCATCAACTTCCCCTGTTCAGTGATGCATCCACGTTTGTCCTTGTCTTTCACCTCTCTCCCCCGCGACAGTCCTAAAAATCCTAAAGGCTAAGCGTGACGAGACACAAGTTCATCGAGTGTTACGGTATAGGTTCATCCAAGACAGAACTCCTCAACCATTCTGGAGACTCTGACAGGCTGCCCACATCTCCAAAGATTGCCATGGAAACTCGCAGGTCGTTGAGGTTAGTTGAACGAAATAAAAGGGTTCCAAGGTGACGATTTGTTGATGTTGTTGTTGGTGTTGTTGCAATGTTGTCAGCATCCACCTCAGACATGTCCAAAACACCCTGACGCCTGGGAACTTGATACCCAAAGGATTCCTGAGCGTAGAGCAAATCGTTTCCAAGGGAGGAGTGGAAAACTGTGACTATCGTATCCCGTATCTGTCATGTTCAATGTTGCAATGTTCTGCAACATCATCCAACATGATCCAATATGCTGCAAAGTGGAGAACTACTCACCGCAAGACAACATACCGCGCTTATCAACAAAGAAATCCATCAGGACACTCAGTACACCTCTACAAAGCATCGAAGAACCACTCCCGAATATTTCCTTTGAACTGACGCCAAGTTTCTCAGTCAGTTCACTTTGGTCACCCTGGATGACCTGCAACAGATTCAGCTGTGTTTCCCCCATGAACACTAAAATGTGTGGTGTCGCAGGATTCAAATCCAACTTGGTTGTTCATGGCTGACAAAATTAGGACTCAACCAAGCAACAGGGGGATTGGACCAACCACCGACAAACGGGGATATGGTCGTGGCTCAAAGTTACCTACTCAAGAATTCTAAGGGTTTTTACACCATTGAAACCTCTAAATAGACGCACTTTGCGGGCTCATTGGTAGCCCATGTCTGAGCCATACGCACGAGACGATGCTTTTGCTTCTGGGAATTTGCAGCTCTGATGTTTGGAATGCTGATGAATGCTGTATGTTCAAGTCTAAGGTTCGCAAAAGACATGGCAAATGGCTCTCAAACAGAGGCTGAATTCCCATCAGTTTTCCAGCAGAATGGACCCTGATTCATAGAGGTGAGTGGGAGGAGACGAGAAGATCCGCCGACCCTGGCCTTGGCCAAGGCAGGGGCGGCGCCTGGGACCACCGCAGGTGTGGAACTTCTCCTTCTTCGCCTTCCAAGGTCAAACCCATCTCGCAGCCAGCAAGCTGCCCCAAGGCCACATCGCGTAAACATTTTCCTGGCATGCTTCGTCCTCCAGTTAAGACTTCCAGGCATTTGGACATGAAAATTACATGCTTTGGGCAAGTAAGTTTTCCTCCGGAAGGTTTTGTCTGAAGGTTTTGTCTTTCAAGGCCAAAGCAGCCGTTCCCGCATTCCCGTAGTAGAAGTTCAAATCATTGACCACGCTTAAAACGCTTAAAACCCTTAAAAACCCTAAAACCCTTAAAACGCTTACTTGGCATGCTTCATCCTGCAGCCAACAGCCACCCCAAGGCCACACATCAATGGCTTCTTATGGGCCGCTTAAAAAATCCCTTGGCATGCTTCATCCTGCAGCCAACAGGCACCCCAAGGCCAGACATCAATGGCTTCTTATGGGCGTCCAAGCCTGCCGTTTGCCAGCTTAAAACCCTTAAAAACCTTAAAACCCTTAAAACGCTTACTTGGCATGCTTCATCTTGCAGCCAACAGGCACCCCAAGGCCACACATCAATGGCTTCTTATGGGCCGCTTAAACAATCCCTTGGCATGCTTCATCCTGCAGCCAACAGGCACCCCAAGGCTACACATCAATGGCTTCTTATGGGCGTCCAACCTTGCCGTTTGCCAGCCCTTAAACCCTTAAACCCTTAAAACCCTTCAAACGCTTAAAACCCTTAAAAACATTAAAACCCTGTAAAACGCTGAATTGGCATGCTTCATTCCTTCAGCAACAGCCACCCCAAGGCCACACATCAATGGCTTTTATGGGCCCGCTTAAGCTTCTTATGGGCGTCCAAGCCTGCCGTTTGCCAGCCCTTAAACCCTTAAAACCCTCCAAACGCTTCAAACCCTTAAAAACCTTAAAACCCTTAAAACGCTGACTTGGCATGCTTCATCCTGCAGCCAACAGCCACCCCAAGGCCACACATCCATGGCTTCTTATGGCCCGCTTAAACATTCCCTTGGCATGCTTCACCCTGCAGCCAACAGGCACCCCAAGGCCACACATCAATGGCTTCTTATGGGCGTCCAAGCCTGCCGTTTGCCAGCCCTTAAACCCTTAAAACCCTCCAAACGCTTATAAAAACCTTAAAACCCTTAAAAACCTTAAAACGCTGACTTGGCATGCTTCATCCTGCAGCCAACAACCACCCCGAGGCCACACATCAATGGCTTCTTCTGGGCCGCTTAAACAATCCCTTGGCATGCTTCATCCTGCAGCCAACAGGCACCCCAAGGCCACACATCAATGGCTTCTTATGGGCGTCCAAGCCTGCCGTTTGCCAGCCCTTAAACCCTTAAAAACCCTCCAAACCCTTAAAAAATTTAAAACCCTTAAAACGCTGACTTGGCATGCTTCATCCTGCAGCCAACAGCCACCCCAAGGCCACACATCAATGGCTTCTTCTGGGCCGCTTAAACAATCCCTTGGCATGCTTCATCCTGCAGCCAACAAGGCACCCCAAGGCCACACATAATGGCTTATTATGGGCGTCCAAGCATGCCCGCTTCTTGCCAGCCCTTATTAAACCCTTAAAAACCCTCCAAACGCTTAAAAACCCTTAAAACCTTAAAACGCTTAATTGGCATGCTTTATCCAATGGCTTTCTTATGCGGCCGCTTAACAATCCCCTTGGCATGCTTCACCCCACCCACACTCCCACCCACATTCTGCAGCCAACAGGCACCCCAAGGCCACACATCAATGGCTTCTTATGGGCGTCCAAGCCTGCCGTTTGCCAGCCCTTAAACCCTTAAAACCCTCCAAACGCTTCAAACCCTTAAAAACCTTAAAACCCTTAAAACGCTGACTTGGCATGCTTCATCCTGCAGCCAACAGCCACCCAAAGGCCACACATCAATGGCTTCTTATGGGCCGCTTAAACAATCGCCGCTTAAGCAATCCCTTGGCATGCTTCATCCTGCAGCCAACAGGCACCCCAAGGCCACACATCAATGGCTTCTTATGGGCGTCAAAGCCTGCCGTTTGCCAGCCCTTAAACCCTTAAAACCCTCCAAACGCTTCAAACCCTCCAAACGCTTCAAACCCTTAAAAACCTTAAAACCCTTAAAACGCTGACTTGGCATGCTTCATCCTGCAGCCAACAGCCACCCCGAGGCCACACATCAATGGCTTCTTATGGGCCGCTTAAACAATCCCTTGGCATGCTTCATCCTGCAGCCAACAGGCACCCCAAGGCCACACATCAATGGCTTCTTATGGGCGTCCAAGCCTGCCGCTTGCCAGCCCTTAAACCCTTAAAACCCTCCAAACGCTTCAAACCCTTAAAACCCTTAAAACCCTTAAAACGCTTACTTGGCATGCTTCATCCTGCAGCCAACAGCCACCCCAAGGCCACACATCAATGGCTTCTTATGGGCCGCTTAAACAATCCC